TTTGCTGTCCGCGCTGCTGCGCTCGGTAATACCCCCTCTTCCCCTGCTTTTATCGTTTTCTTCTTTTCTTTTCTTGATTCTTCTTTTCGCTGTCGTCGTCGGGGTGCCGATGACGGGTTAGCTGCGTGGACGAGCGAGAGGGGGTGTTCTGGGCTGAAGAGGAGGTCAGGATTGGATTGGATTGGATTGGGTCGGGCTTGAAACGACGAGGAAGAAAAGAAACGGAATGGAAAGGCTTGCTGGGATGGACGAGGGGAAAAGAAGGATATTTAAAAAAGTTTGTTGATGTGGCGAAAAGTAATGGTGCACAGGTGCTTGGGTGAATTGGAGAATAGGGAATGCAATGCAATGGAACGGTTCGGTTGCTGGTTTTTCTTCTCTCTTCTTTTCTTCTGTTTTTTATTCTTTCTTTCGTCGGTCTTTCGAGATATATTTCAAACATATCTTCTTTCCTCTTTTCCTCTCTTTTCTCATAAAACTTTTGTTCCTTGAGTCTCTGGTGACAGTGGCATTGGGGTTGGTTAGGTTGGGTTGGGTTGGTGGGGGTCTTGGGGGTGAGAGGGGAAGTTGTGTCCAGATTGAAGAGGGGAAAGGAGGGTAGAAGAGGAAAAGAGCAAACGAGGGCACGAAAAGGGAGCCGAGGGCGAAAGGGGGGGACGGAGAAAAGGAGGAGAGGGCGGGCTTGGCGGGCTGGTCGAGCGTGCGCGCGTGTGTTGTGTTGGGGGTTGATCGGTGTCGGTGTGCTGTGGTGGAAGCGTTCCTGCCTGGCTTTGGACCTTGGACCTTGTGCCCTTGTGCTCTTGTGCCCTGGAGACCTTTCTTATCCTCGCTTTCGTCGCTGGGTCGCTGTCGTCCTTGTTGTGCTGCGTTGCGTTGCGTTCCTTTCTTTTCTTTTCTTTTCTCTTTGCTCTTTGCTCTTTCGTTCGTTCGCTCGTTCTTTCGAGCGCTCCCTCTGCTACACTACCACCACTACCGCACGCACGCACGCACGTCTATCGCGCGCACTACACTACACTACTCGCCATCCATCCATCCATCCATCCAGCCGAACGAATGGCCGAACCACCAACTACCTACGCGCCAAAGACACAGGGAAGCTAAAGCTAAAAACTAAAACCCAAAGCCAACACTACCTCACTCACTACCTCACTACCTGCGTACCTATCTACACGCTGGAAAGAGGGAGTGAGTGAGTGAGTGAATGAGTGAGTGAGGGAGGAAAGGAGGGAGGAAAAGGGCTGTTATTGCTATTATTATTATTATTATTGTTGTTGTTAGTATCGCTTACTTACTACCTTATTTATCTATCTACTGTATTATTAGCGCGAGTAATCTGTACTGGTATTGGTATCGAATGTTGTGTTAGACTATACTAGTTGGTTGCTGTTGTCATGGGCGTGGGGCTTGGGTTTGTCTGTTTTATGCCCTATGCTTATATGTGATTTCTGTTTGTCACTGAGGCAAGACTGGACTGGACGGTCTGTATGTACGAGCATGATCGCAATCGTTGGAATAATCGTTGGAATAAGCGTGAGAAGAAAACTACATTAAACACCAACACCCATACCCGCAAACTTGACGCCCACACCACTCCAGCCGATCAATCTGCCATCGTTCATTAGCCAACTAACCAACCAACCAACCAACCAACCAGCCAATATCGCCATATGAGTACTATTCCGTTCCTAGCATAGCATATCATAGCATACCAGTAAGAGCAAGAGTAAGAGAGAGAAAGAGAAGCAGTAATAGCAATACCAACGCCGTCGCCACCACCACCGCCGTATCGTCGCCGGGGGTATGTAGGGGGTGTAGTGCAGCAGGCAGCAGGCAGGCAGCAGAGCGCCGGGCTCAGCGAGCGAGTGTCGAGTGTCGAGTGTCGAGTGCATCGGCGGGTGTGTGTGTTTCTGGTTCCAATTCCTTTCTTCGTACCCACGCTCTCGACTTCTTCGCCACCCACAAACCACCATACCAACCTACCCGTTCCCGCCCACAGTGGATAGCTTAACCTCTCCATGCCTACTCCTAGAGCGACGCAACGACAACACCACCAACCCCGCCGCCCACGCCACCGCCGCCGATCTGGCACTTGGCAGCAAAAACACTGCTCAAAGCGTCACGGACCTCAAAGTCCTCGAGCACGGCGCCGAACCTGCGTGGCAATATCAGTTAGCATCAGCATCAGCATCAGCATACATCCCTTAACAAAACCCAAAACAAACAAACAAACAAACAAACAACCCCAGCTTCTCCTCCCCAAAAACACACACAAAAACATACAGCACAAAAGAAATCAGCAAACATACCCATAGCACCTCACCTTCCCCCCCAGCTCCCCCCTCAACCACTCAAACTCGCCCCTCCCCAATCCCCCTCTTCGCACCCGCTCGTCCCTTAAAATGCTCGCCCACGCCATCACAGGCGTGATCTCGCCTTCCATGATGGGCAGTCTGTTCGCGAGGTCCAGCAGCTTGAGGAGGTCGGCCGGGGGGGAGGGGTTTGCAGGTGGGGCTGAGTCCGGGGCCGTTGGGGGCGTGTGGGTGTCTTGTTGGTGGTGGCTGTGGTTATTTTGGTGCTGGTGATGGTGATGCTGGTCTTGTTGGTGGTTGTGGTGGTGCTGCTGAGCGTGCTGGTTTTGTGCTTGCTGCTGCTGCTGCTGCTCTTGTGGCCCCGCTGGACACGTCGCCATCAGCGCGTGCCCCGATGGCAGGTCTGGCGCGCTGGCGCTGCGCTCGAGTAGGTACGGCATGTGGTCCATGCAGGGCTTTTCGAGCCTACACATCGGTGGGCGCGAGGTTAGAACGCGAGCTGGGCAGGCAATATCTGGTGCAGGTAGAAAAACGTATTGTAGTGTGGGTTGGGTTGGTTTGGGTTGGTGGAAAACGAGTCTTGTGTTGGAGGGTAAGCGTGCGTGGTGCAGGACCTACCGAGGCGGGTAGGTAGGTGGGCAGCGGGCCGCTGCGACGCTACTACTGGGGCGGAGGAGAGAGATAGGGTGTGCGGTCGTACGTTAAGACAAAGTCTATGCCCACCTGGGCGTAGTCCACCTGCTGCTGCTGGGCGGCATGGGCTGCCTGCTGTTGCTGGGGTGGCGGCGGCGCGATACCCATCGTTGCGGCACCTGCCGGCGGCGACGTGTACCCTGTCGATGCGGAGCCGGGGTTGTAGCTGCCCGAGAGGGAGCCGCGCGAACTGCTGCCGCCATAGCTGGACGTCCCGCCCATGCCTACGGGTGGGCTGGCAAGGTCGTACGCGATGCCGTGCATGGCGAGGAGCTCTTTGAGGCGCCGGTTCTCGTCCACGATGGCGTCGCGCTCTTTGGTCGATGTGGTGTAGAGTTCTTTCAGGCGCAGGACTTCTTGCTCCAGCGCTTTGATGTACATTTCTTTTCTCTCGCGGTGGGTTCTGCTCACGTGTTAGGGGGTGAGGGAGCTAGGGAGGGGAAAACACGGGTGGGTGCTTGCCGTTGGGCTTGCCGGTTCAGTTCTTGGCGGCGCGTGAGGGCAGGCTTGCTGTCGGGCTTGGGGCCTCTTCTCTTCGGCGGCTGGCCGTCTGTCAAACAGCATGAGTACGGTTCATTGTCTGCAAGTAAGCCATGCTCGCAAACAAACCTCGCGTCGTCTTCTTTTCGGCTCCATAGTTCTTGAAAAAGGGAAACTGCGCCAGTGGCGTGTTCTTGGAGCTGCTGGACTCGGCTTCTGGAGAAGGATACGGCCGTCTTCTCTCCTCGACCACAGCGGGCCGTAGAGAGGAGTCGCCGGCTGCGGTTAGCCTGCTGGCCCAAGGAGGGGTGCGGGGAGCATGAAAAAGCATGACGGAAGGTGATGAAGAAGGCGGGAGGCGAGGTGGGATGGAGATACAGAGCTCGGGCAGTGTCCTTTCTTCAAGGACGGTGCAGATGGTGAGGGGCATGCAGCTGCTGGTTCCCACCGCACGCTGAGTGGAGGCAGAGGGTATTTGTCACGGCGGGTGCGACAGAGGAGATATAGCGCGGGAGCTAAGACGATGGAGGAAAGGAAGGGAAGAATTCGAAGACATAAAGGGAATACAAAGCTCACCGTAGCCGAGTTGGGAGTGGTGCTGAGGATCGAGATGAAGGGCCTCCATTTGATGCTCTGGAGACATGGTGTTTTGGACTTGGGACAGGCCGAGACGGGTAAGATGGGGGGGATTATAAGTAGGGCCTGGATTTGGAATTGCGGCGGCGGGAGCAACACAGGGAGGCGGTGCTGTCGGCGCGCCGTGCGCCGAGTCATGGTTGGCCATCACCCTCGACCTGCACCTTCCCGCCACGCCCTAGACGAGTAGTCTACCTTTATTCTCTCTCTTCTCCGCCCTACCCGGGACATGCATCTCCGAGGCTTCTGCCTCCCTCTCTCATCCTCACTCTCACTCTTACTCTCCTCCATCTCTCATCCTCCACGTCCATCTCTCACACTCGTCCCTCCCGCTGCTGCTGCCGCCACCCGCCCCAGCTGCGCCGCCCCCGATTTGGCATGCTGATATTTGGCATTGCCGGAATTGCTTCTAGAGAGTCTTCCCGCTCCGACTGACTCCCGACCTCACTTCCACGGACAATGATGACGATGATGACGATGATGACGACGATGAGGCGAGCTCGGATGTCTAGGTAGAGTAAGAGATTCCGTGTTGTGCTGCTGCTGCTGCTGTTGATGGTGATGGGTGGGTGGTGCTGTTTCGGTCTTGTGTGCTGTGTAATTGTGGGGTTGGGCTGGTGCTGCTACTGTCTTCTCTTCTCTTCTCACTGAGTATGCACTCTACTCTGCCGCCATCTCTCCCAGAAGCATTGTATCAAACCGAGTACCTAGAGTAGAGTAGAGTAGAATAGACAGCGCAAGAACAACAACAGCCCCTCACTCCCTACATCCAACTCACCCCCACCCCCAAACCCCCAAACCCCAAAGACATTTGTCCCCTGAACCTTACAAACACACACCACAACCCAACACATCAAATCCAGCCCTCCGCCTCCACCGCCTCCACCACGCGCACCTCACACAACCGCAACAACACGGCACGGGCCGCCCTCCCGCCGTGCTAAACAGGCGCATAGCACGCGTAAAAATAGCTCCCTCGACCGTGCTTGTTACCTATGCATTACGCGTACACGCCGTGCCTGCATGCCTACCCACCTATCTGTCATCAGCAGTGACAGATGCAGTGAGTAACAGATACCTACCTAGTGACAGATACCTATCCCCGGGGGAGGCTGACAGATAGAATTGTGTGCTTGTGGTGGTGGAGCGGTGAGGACTGGCTGAGGGACGGAACGGAAGCGATGGGTGTTGTTTAGTTGTACCGAGCGTGCGTATGCGTATGTGTGTGTATGTGTGAATAAGTATGGGTATACGTGTGCAGAGCACCCAAGACAAGACCACCTCGCCGTTGCGTTGCGCTGAAAATAGATTATGCTCCTGCGTATTCATAGCTCCTCTACGCCATCGAAGTGACGCACTGGGTTGCTCTTACAGCGCTTACGGCGCCGTGCTGCATGCACACGCACGCACGCACGCTCTTGCCGTCTCTTTTCCGCTGCCGTTGCGGTTCCCGCCCATCCGCTCCGTCCCGTTCCTGACATATTCCTTCCATCGATGCGGCTGCCCTCGCCCTCACCTCCGTCTACCTCTCATCACCACCACCCCCATCCACACCCACCACCTACCCACCAAACACCAACCTAATAATACGCACTCCCCCCCTCCTCCACACCTTCATCACCACTATCGTCCTCCTCACCCATTCCCACAGCACCAACACCACCACCCCCTCCTCCTCCTCCTCCTCCTCCTCCTCCTCCTCCAGCAGCAGCACCAGCGTCCACAGGCGCGCGCATCCGGCCCAGCGCGTCTGCGTCTAAGCCGCAGGGGACGAATGAGGGCGGGTTTGGGTGGTATTCGCGGCCGGAGGGCATGGTTGCGAGGAGTGGGGCCGAGGGGGGGATGGGCTGGATCTGTATCTGTTGGGTGTGTGAGTTTAAGGGAATAGAGAGGGACAGGAAGGAAGGGACAACATACAGTATCATTCATCTTGACCCACTTCCGCTCCAACATCTCGACAATCCTGCCCTCCTCAAAACGCCCCGCATCACCACCCCACCCCTCCCCGCGCTCAATCCGCCGATCCTCCCTCTTCTCCGCCCAGCCCTTCCTCAACCGCGCAAACCCCTGCCCCGCCCTCTTACGCTCTTCCCCCTCCGCACCCCCCTCCGCCTTAAACCCCATCTCGAGCCGCGCCCCCCGTAGCCAGGCAATGCCCTCGCCCCCCCTCCCCGCCCCCTCAGCATCCAGCCCCAAAAACCGCGCCGCCTTCCCACGGGCCGTCCGGCGCAAATCGTCAAGATACCGCGGCAGGCGCTCGTCGACGCCGCGTTCTGTGAGAAGCAGTGCCTGGCCCCGCGCAGCGTGCTCCCCCGCTGCCACGCACAGCCGCGCAAACAGGTGCGCCCGCACTTTCGGTATCGCCGGCCCCGCCACCATCCACTCCCGCGACGACGCGCTCCGCTCCTCTGCCACGAGGCCGGGGTACGGATCGTCCTTGAGGACGGCGGCGAGCGTCGCCTCTGCGAGCGCCAGCTCCGCCAGCGCGCTCTGCGTCGCGCTGCTTATGTCCACCGGCGTCGTCGGCGGCGGCGGCACTGCTGCTGTACCTCCCTGCTGTTGCTGTTGCTGCTGCTGCACCCGCAGCCCTGCCCGCCTCGCCACATAAGCATGCACGCCCCTCGCGTCCAAGAAGGCGCGCATCGCGGCCGCGACCGCCGCAGCGCGAGCGGGTGGCTCGGCCTCCGGCGCCACGACCAGCGAGCGCAGCTGCTCTCGTGCGGACAGCGAATGCGCGCACGCGAGCGCGTGCAGCGCGAACAAGAGCTCTGGCTCTAGGCCGTGCAGTTTGGCGCGGGGAGGGTCGCGGCCCGGGACGGGGGAGGGGGAGAGCGTGGGGCGCCAGGCGGTTGCGAGGTCTTGGGCGGGGGAGGTGAGCGTGGTGGTGGTGTTTTGTTGTTGTTGCTGCCCATTGTTGGACAGCCCCGCGTCCAGCGCGGCCAGATGCGCGAGATAATCTGTCAGGGCGGCGATGACGGCGGGGAGGTTGCTGGCTTGGGCGGCGGCGGGGAGGCGCTTATGCGCCTTCAGGACGGCGCGCAGGACGCCGCGCGAGGACGTGGCCGCGAGGGGCAGCGACGGGTGCGTGCTGCTGGAGTAGTAGTCGCAGAGGGAGACGGACGAGGTCGTGGGCAGCTCGAAGGGGAACGGCATGGTATAGCTCGCTGGCTGGCTGGCTGGGGTCGCGGGTGTTATGGACGGCGTTGCGGGGTGGCACGGTGGGCGGACCGACCGACGTGGTTGCGGGCAGGCTGCTGGGCGAAACGCCGGGTCTTATGCGCGAAGCCTAGGTAGGTCTCGAAATCACATGCTTGCATTTGCGAAAGCCGCGCGCCCGGCTTTGTTTTTTTGTCTTCGTTTTTGCCATATCTGCTATACAGGCGAGCCTTATACACATTCTGCTGCCCGGGGAAAGGGGAGGAGGGCTCGGTGCTTCCTTCATCCAACCAATTCTGCTGCCGCCAAAGCCCTTTGTGCTTGGGACCACCCCTCGACCTCGATCCTCGATCTATACTCCTCAGCGCATCGCTCGCGGCCGATTCCCTCAACCGCGCTTGGCGAGGTAGTTCTGCTGCTCGAACAGGTAGCCCTTGATCTTGGACTCCTTGAGGAGCTCAAAGTAGCGCTCTGCCCCTCGCCCAAACGCGTCAGCCAACTGCCGCAATTCGCACGAGCTACAACGAACAACAAACAACAACGACAACAACAATTCGGCCGGGGGAGAGGATGGCTGCTGCTGCTACTACTGACCTCTCAAGTGACCGCACTTCTCCAGGTGGTTGACGCCCTCGCGGTAGTAGCACTTGCCCATCTCCTCGCGCACAAGCCGCGCCATCATCGACTTGACCCACTGCTCGCGGATGATGGCGTCCTGCGCGGCCTTGAAGGCAATGTTGTCATCGAAGTCGACGCCCTCAAACGTCGGCGCGACCTTGGGCTTCTTGGCGAGGAAGGCCTCGGACTCGGGCGTAGGCATGGCGGCGGCGGCTGCGGGCGGTGCGTGGGACACGAAGTGCTCGGGTTGCGGTGGTGAAGCGGGGGCAATTGGATTGGGCTCGGCGAGAGCGAGCGAGTGAGAGACACAGGCGTAGTGGTGGTGGTGCGGGTGTGCGTGGTGCAGGCTGGTAGGTAGGTCCTGGTACTGCGAGCAGCTGCTTTGGTAATGAGCGGCACGTCGTTCGCTCGGGCGGGCCGCCAAGCCCTCCCGTCCTCAACCACCACCACCAGCACCACTGATGCGCAACCCGGCCTTGAGCCTGCCCATGCGCCCCCGACACGCCCGCCCCTGCCCCTGTCCCTGCCCTTTGCCCTCCCACTGCTTCCACGCGCTCTGCTCCGCCGCCGGGCTCTGGTACTTCATGCGCCAGCGCCACTCGGCGAAGCGGACCTCGCCAGTGAGCGCGGCCGCCCCATCCAACAGCTCCTCGCGCCGCGATGCGCAAGCGCTGCACAGCGCGTCCAGGCGGCGCGTCTGGAACGGGTGCGACTGCACCCGGCACCCGCTCGAAAACGTCTCGTGTGGCCCGATGCTCGCGCTTTTGCATTGCACCAGCGGCGCGGCCTCGAAGAACGAGTGCCCGCATGTCGTGAAGATGAAGAGCTTGTGGTAGCACATTAAGAGCGGAGCCTGGAGGTTCTGTTGTCTTTGTGCTAAGTGCAGAGACAGAGACATGGAGAGATGCCCGCTGTGCCTTTTATACATGTGCTGCTGGGCCAGAGTGGCTGGCTTCTTTGTTCGTGTGGCCGCATGGAGTCATGCCGTTGGCTTTTGGCCATGGGCCATGTGCGCATGGCTTTGTTGCGCGTGCCTTTGCTGGCTGAGTATCGTTGCGGATTGGGGCGGGTTGCTGCGGCCAGCGATGTGGTGACGAATCCGGTAGGTGACGAAGCAGGCAAGTGATAATGTCCTTGGCCGTGGAAAAATGCATGGCTGGTCTCTTTTAGGAGAGCAAGCTTCTCTCAATTCATGTTGAGCAATCTGCAATTGGTCGCATGCTGCCTCGCAATGGCTATGGAGGACAGCATGAGCTTGATAATTCATTTTTAGAACAGTTGATTTATCTTCCCGTTGGTTAGATAGGTTTCAGTGCACTTGAAGCAGCATGTTTCAATATGTACAGTAGACTCGAGAGCAGGTCCCGTTGAATGTCTACAGCTAAAGCGATCAACTAGGTACATACCGTGCCATGAGCTGTCCGTCCATAAGAACATCATCACACTAAATCACCTCTCAGCACAAACGCAAAAACACCAATTCGAACATGTCATTACATGTATACACAAACGAATTACACATCTATATTGTATGTACCCAACACCATCACAGCCATATACAGCATTACAACCCCTTCCCCTCCCTTTTCGCCTCCGCAGCCTTTTTCCCACCCTGCGCCTTGTCGTCATCATCAACCTCAGGCGCAGCCTCCCTCCCCTCAACAACATCCGCCTGTCGATCAAGCATCATATGCGCGACATTGACCTTTGGGCCCTTGAACCATTTGTGCGCCGAGACGACCCACCAGATCGAGACGAGCAGCATCGGGCCGCCGTAGACGAGGCACGTCCAGTTCATGCCGGAGGGGCTGCGCGGCGCGTCAATTTCCAATACCCCAAAGCGAAACGGAAGGAAAAAAAAAGAGAGAGGGAACTCACGTCAAGTCTCTTCCCACCGACGCAGGCAAACACAGCACGGGCACCATGAGCGCCGTAAAAGCGCACGCCACGACCCCTACCGGCACACTAAAGCGGCCCAAATTCCAAGGGCCCGGGCGGAAGTCGTCTCGGGTAAAAACGACACGAATGAAGACGGGAGTCGCGAACGCGACAAACGCGGCAATGGCGCCAACAGAGAAGAGCGCGCCGACGACGACGTCGCCGCCCAGAATCAGTAGCAGCAACAAGCACCCAATCACGGCATTGAACCACACGGCGTTGACAGGCGTCTGCGTGCGCCTGTTCACGCGCGCCCAGTACCGCGACAGGGGAAAGCAGCCATCGCGCGCATACGCAAACGTCACCCGCGACGCCGCTATCATGTTGCCCTGGCCCATAGCGAAGCCGGCGATAATCGTGAGCGCGAGCACCGTCATCGCCGACTTGCGCGGCAGGCACTGCATCAAGTACGCGGCGAAGGGCTGGCCCAGATCCGAGTCCAGCGCGCCGCCAATGTCGACGACCGTGTACGCGACGACGAGCTGCAGGAACCAGCCGAAAAGGCCGCCGACGGCCGAGGTGAGCACGATAGCGCGGGGTGAGGCGACGTTCGCGTTCGTGCATTCCTCCGACAGGTGGAACGGGCTGTCGTACCCGCTCATGGTCCAGATAACGCTGATGAAGCTGGCGAGGATCCGCAGCCCGGCTGGAAACTCCATGCCTTTGTACACGGAGCCCCAGACCTCGGACGAAGGCGTGAAGCGCGGCAACCCGCGCGCCTCGCGGTCCGTCCCCGCGGGGATGAGGATGATGACGACGACCAGCGCCAGCATGTTGAAGTTGGAGCCGTAGGAGTTGACTTGGGCGAGCCAGCGCGTCGGCAGGCTCGACATGCAGCCGTGGAGCAACATGATAAAGACGGTCAGGAGGAACGTCTGCCAGTTGGTAGGGATGTACGATGGGTCGTACATGGATGCCGCGGCGAGGATCATCGACGCCGTCCCATAGTTGACTGAGGGCGCCGCTGTGATTTGCGCTAGCCAGTTGCTCCAGCCCGTGATCCATGATGCGAAGGGCCCCCATTCTTTGGGCGCCAGCACCGCCGATGCGTAGTAGAGTCCGCCGGAGGTGGGCATGCTTGAGCAGAGTTCAGCCATGCTCATGGCTACGCACTGGATGCCTATCATGGCGATGAGCCAGCCCCAGGTCATGCCTGATATCGTCAGCAGTGAACCTTCAAGCCGTTCTAGGACATGCGCCAGTGACCAAGAAGAAAGCAATACAACAGTCAAACTAAGCACATCAAACAGCAACGAAAAAAGCACACATACCAGCCGTCCCCGCATACCCCAAACCATAATACCTACCGCAAATCAGCAATCTGACCCCAAACCCGCACCAACCACACTCTGTAGACGGGGTACTAACATCGTGCTAGCAAAGCTCGGCAGCAAGCCCAGTACAGCAAACGAGACGCAAAACGTCGTAAAGAGGCCAAACTCGCGCCGGAACTCGGACTTGTAGCCCAGCGCAGCCAGCACCTCCTCGTCCTGGTCGAAGCCACGCCCTGCGGGCTCGTACGGCACGTCGCCATCTGCAGCGCGTAAGCAGGCGCGCATGCACGCAAATACCCGGCTCTTTCTCTCTATCCTTTCCTTTCCGGGACCGCCGGGGTAGGTGTACGCACCAGGCAGCACCGAGGTCACCGGCTCCTGCGCCACGCTCCTCTTGCCGTTGCCGTAGTCGTTGGCGACGCTGCTATCGTTCCGCGCAGTCATGCTCGGCAGGTACTCCGTTAGGTATGTACAGCAGACCAGTGTAGGCAAGCAAATCCTAAAAGTGCCGTCAACGTTCGAACAAATTGAGCAGAAGCAGGCAGCAATAGCAAGCCAGCACAGTAGATGAAGCAGCGCGCGCAGCCGTCGTCTCTTACTTACATATACGCCCGCCCCGGCCCTGACGTCGCGACCCGATCGTTATGCGTCTAGTACGCTGCAGCCCTGTCCACGCTTTTCCGCAAACGGCTTCGCTAGCCTAGCGGGGCGGGGGCTGGCCGGCGCGGATCGCGCCGTTGATTTGTTCGTTTTATTTTTTTGAGGGGGGTGGAGCCGACTCTTATCGTGGGCGGATCTCTGTGCTATGTAGATGCGCCGTGGAGCCGTTATTGCATGTCCCCGGAGTATGGATGGGAGTTGCGGCTTTGGCGTCGTTTTGCTGGGGGTTGGTTTGTAGGATGTGAAGCTGTGCTTTGCAACAGCGTTCCAGACCTGGCTCTGCCTCTCTGCGCGCCGCAGTACCTAGAGTACTCGCACTGTACATAGGAGTACGTGCTCGGTTGTACAGTACAACAATCGCGCCATTGACGCGCTCCCACCCGCAGCCCATACGAGATCTCGAAGCACGGTACGTATGTACCTACTCCTGGGCACGGTACGTACCGCACACTCAGGCTGGCTGTACCTGCCCGAAGCAGCAAGCAAGCCATGCCAGGCCAGCGATCCCCGCCTGGGCGTCGCCGCAATTTAACGGTCGTTTGCCGTTTTCCGTTTGCCATGGTCCTCGTGACTGCAAGTACTCGTACTCGTAGAGTACCTACCTACGCTCATCAGCGTCGTTGCGGCCTGCGAGTACTAGTACGGGTAAGAGTGGTTGTGATTGGGGCTCTGTTGTGGTTTGGCGCCTCAACTGGCGGTTGATAACGCGATAGCCGAGTGCGGGGTGCGCCGCCTGTTCGCTATTGCGTAATGGATTGGCTTTTTTTTGTGGCCAGGGGGTTGCTGGGCTGGACAACGTCATGCGTTGCTTGTCTTGTGCTGCTTACAGTATTACTACGGATTACTCCTACGTACTCGTACTCTTGCGTTTGGGGGTTGGCGGTGGGGGTGATGGTAGTGATGGGTGTGGTTGTGTGCGTTGAGCCGATGGCTTATGACAGTGAATGTGTCTGTCCATCAGCAGAAGATGCGGGTACGAAGCGTTATTAATTATTCTAGCATGTGCTTGTGGGATACCCTCGCTCTCGTGTATATCCGTACCTGCGTGCCTTTCCGCATACTCTCGTGTCCCTCGTATCTTTATGTTCTCGTGTCCTCGTAGACTACTCTCCCACTCTCGTATGTTTTGTCTCAAACCCCATGTGATCGATCCTCGCTGCCAACGCGCGGTTGTGCAACCATACATCTTGCTTTGTGAGACCAAAAGGTGAGTCACCTAACTTTAAATTATCCACTTCAGGCGCGCAGGCGTGGTAAAGCACGAGAGGTAATGGCACGAGACATAGGTGCGTAGGAAAGTGTTTAAGGTAGCAAATGAATATATAAACGTGACGCTAACTTAAAAGAGTACGAGCAGTTTTTGGTTTAAGGGATATTTGAATATAGCTAGAAGTGGTGATGAATTATGCGGCGTCTTTTTATGATTTTATTACGTATGTATGTGATAACTCACATAATTCTTTATATAGCATCGTCTAAGTAAGAAAGATGTTTACGACTCCCGAAGACTGCTCGATGGATATATAGACCTAAATCAATAGGCGGCCAAGTCCATGTCCTTCCAGGTTGGTAAGTCGTGGTTTTGTGCCTATAAATTAAGAATTTATGACGAGGTTAAACTCCCTTCCAACCCATGCATCTCTGCTGCTTGCGATGAGCATAATTGACTCACTGTTTAGTAGTTAGAGGAGTGGTGTGGTGGATGTAAAAGCGCCTCGGGTGTTTGTAATCTCCGCTTACGGAAGCGGGGTTGCCACGGCGATAGCGGAGATAAACACACCGTTAATGCGCACGTCATTCTTTCCATGACACGGGGCGAGTTTCGACAGGCGATATCGTCCACGTATTTGCTCATTTTTCTTCGACCCTTTCCTCCCTCCATCTCAATTCCTCATTCTCCTCTATCAATCCAATCCACAGCATCACAATGGCCGTCCGCGCAGCTTTCGACCCCAAGAACATGATCTTCAGGCACCTTGGGCCTACTGGTCTGAAGGTTTCTGTCTTCTCCCTTGGTGGCTGGCTCACCTACGGCGGTACCCAGAAGGGCAACATTGTCAAGGATTGTCTGCAGGCTGCTTGGGACAATGGCATCAACTTCTTCGACACTGCTGAGATTTATGCCAATGGCCAGAGCGAGATTGAGATGGGCAATGCTCTGAAGGAGCTTGACTGGCCCAGGGACGAGTATGTCCTCTCTACCAAGGTATGTCGGACGCCAATGCTCCTCGTCTGACTGTTGTCTAACCATTGGTTCCATCTAGGTCTTCTTCGGTACGGGAAGGAAGGAGCCGAACACCAGGGGTCTGTCCAAGAAGCACGTTGTTGAGGGTCTCAAATCCTCTCTGCAGCGCCTTCAGCAGCCTTATGTCGACATAGTGCTGGCACACAGGCCTGACAATGCGTATGTGTTCTTTTCTCAGGTTGGCAGTGTCCTAATACTGACCTGGGCAGGACTCCCATGAAGGAGATCGTTGAGGGCTTCACGCAGGTCATTCGCAACCTGAACCTTTCCTACTACTGGGGCACTTCCGAGTGGAGCGCGGCCCAAATCATGGAGGCCACTCAGATCGCTGAGAAGTACAACCTGATTGCCCCCATTGCCGAGCAGCCGCAGTACAACGCCTTCCACCGCGAGCGCTTCGAGGTGGAGTACGCTCCCCTGTTCAACCAGTTCCAGTACGGCACCACCATCTGGAGTCCTCTTGCCTCCGGCCTCTTGACCGGCAAGTACAATGACGGCATTCCCGAGGACTCGCGTTTCGCGACCAACAAGGCATTCTTCGAGGACACGATTAAGCAGCTTAAGTCGCCCGAGGGCCAGGCCAAGATCGAAAAGGTCAAGAAGCTGACGGCGATTGCCGAGAGGCTGGGCGGCACGGCGTCGCAGCTTGCGCTGGCGTGGGCGGCCAAGAACCCCAACGTCAGCACCGTTATCCTCGGCGCCACCAAGGTCGAGCAGATCCACGACAACTGCAAGGCCCTGACGCTGATCCCGAAGCTCACGCCCGAGGTCATGGAGGAGATCGAGAAGGTTCTCGACAACAAGCCGAAGCCCACGCCTACCTACGGTCGCGAGAGGTAGGTTATAGGTAATCCCTCTGCCTCGCCTACGCTGGGTGGTTTCGGTGCTGAGCGCTTACGGAACTCGGGGAGCAGGTCGAGGCTATGATTTATGAGCGATGAAAAAGCAACAGTCAGCTTTCTAGGTCTGCCGTAGAAATATAAACAGATCCCACCAAACAACGGCGATAGCAGTGCAAGCGTATCGAAGGTGAATCCATTCAACAGCAGTCTGTCCCAAAATGGAAATATAATGAGGTCGATGACGCGTGATCCTGGAGCTCTGACAGACAAACCATACCAAATGCGGGATGGTGGCTACGCGCCGCGTCGGGGAACGCGCGCGGCCGATCATCAAGTTAGAGCCGCCACCCATCCACACGATCGATGGCACCGCTTGTCACGGTCCGCGGATGTCAGTGTCATGAATCATCATGGGCCCTGACAGACATCGATGACGAAATGTGGCCTGTGCGGAAACGACGGCGACTCACTCTACTCTACAGATGAGAACTATGGCATTGACTGTTCTGCCAACAACCTGCTTCCTGGAAGACTGTCGGCACGTTCATTGACGACCCCCGAGCACAGCATTGGAAGCAGCCAGACGAAGAACTGAATCGCGCCACGCACGCACGCACGCATTCGACCGTACCCGCCACCTTCGCGCATCCATCGCCGCCATGTCCACGACCCTCAGTGCCCGCCTCCTCGCGTCAGCATCTCGAGCACCACCTCATGCCCGCGTCCCCGCACTGCTGCGGAGCCGCCGGCGCGCGCTGAGCAGCACCTCTGCTGCGCGCGCGGCGGCGGCGGCGGCGTCAGCGTCAGCAGAGCCGAAGTACACGAAGCCGGCGCTGCGGAAGGAGGTCAAAGAGGAGATCAAGGAGGGGGACAAAGGCGGGAACCCGGGGGAGTGGTCGGCGCGGAAGGTGCGTTGGTAGTGGTAGCGGGGGCGTGGAAGCGCGAGCGGTGCTAACGCTTGCTTCTTCTAGGCGCAGATGACGACGCTGGAATACATGAAGCGCGGCGGGGGATTCACGACGCCCAAGAGCGAGCAGGACCCCTCGCAGGAGCGCCTCTCGCAGTGGACGGAGGAGGAGTGGCAGACGAAGGAGGGGGAGGGACAGTCGAGGCAGGGGGACGGGAGCACGAAGAGGTATTTGCCGAAGAAGGCGTGGGAGGAGATGGGGGAGGGGGAGGGGAGGGCCACGGATCAGAGGAAGGTCGACGCGAGTAGGAGGGGGAAGCACGTTGTAAGGAATACAGAGGGGGCGAGGGAGGAGCGGCGCAAGGTGAGTGAGGAGAGTGAGAGTAAGAGGGGAGCTGTGAAGGAGGGTAGGGCGTCGAATGAGAAGCAGGCGGATGGCGTGAAGCAGGCGGATGGCGTGAAGCAGGCGGAGACCGTGAAGCATGCGGAGAACGCGAAGCATGTTGCCAGCACGAAGCAGACGGACCACGCGAAGCAGGGCGCCGACGCCAAAAGCCAGTCCTCTTCTCCCCAGCCCCAGTCCGGGCATTGGGTGCCGCGAAAGGGACAGAAGATCACCAGGAAGGTCGGGGGAACAGAGGTGGAAGCCGAGGTGGTGGAAGTAGTGTGGGAGAAGAAGGTGGTAGAGGGAAAGCCGGCCAATGGCTCCAAGGACGATCCCCGGGTTGTGCTTAGAGGGATCCCGTCTGGGAAGGTGGTGGTGCGAGGACTGGAGTCCGTTTCTTTCTGATTTTCTGATAGACGTAATGTCTCGGATTGACATTGACAATATAACAACGAACAACGAACAACAAACAAGCAAACACGTGTGGTTTCTCCGGGTGTCAAAGCAGCGCGTCGGACGGCAAGCGAGTCATGTCTTCCGGCTGGCCAATGCTCGCAGGCTTCAGGCAGGTGCTCCTCAGCTGTCTCTAGCTTGCAGCCGCCTCCTTCCTTTAACCATCCGCTCGCACTTCTGCGAAACCCACACGCTCCTTTCTCACTCGGCCATGCCCATTTCTCCTCCATTGACCTAGACCCCCGCTCCTTTTACCCTCCGCAACGCCCGCTTCCATCAGCCATCATCACCACCCAGCCATGTACCTCACCGAGGAACTTTTCCACTCCACCGACCACGACCACCCCTCCGCCATGGCCTGGAAGGCAACATCACCCGATCCGCACTCGTCGACTGAAAGCCTGGGCAAGAGGAAAAGGGGGGCTGACAACGGCGGCGAATACACCGTCTGCGCCATGTATGTGCTTAGTAAAGCCCATGTTGGGGAGGGGCAACGAACAACAACAACAAACTGACAAGCACAGTCCCTCGAAGAACATCAAAGCGGCGGCTGGGCCCGTACATTACGACTACGAAACGGCGCTCTCGTCGCACCACCTACCCCAGCCACTGCACTTGTCGAACGCGGGCGAGATGTACCCGCCAGCGAGCTACATGCAACAAGCCACGGCAGCAGGGATGCGGGGCCGCAAACGCGCAGGCATGACGCCGCGGCTGCACCGGCCAGTGAGCGCATTCAGCAGCATCGACAGCACGATCCACGTCCCGCCACCACCAGCGCCAAAAGGCTCGTCGTTGGCGCCCTGCCACTGTTGCCACAAGGCACCCCGCATGAAGAAGGATCTCGAGGGCTACATGGCGTGCGAGAGCTGTCGGGAGCAGACGTGCTTCATCTGCATGCGCCAGTGTCAGGGGGTTGCGCCCGGCTGTGGCGAGCGCAAGATCTGTCGCTCGTGCTGTATTGAGCGTGGCGAGGAGGGCGAGACGTGGTGTCTGAACTGCCTGGGGCAAATGGACGAGGGCCACGGGGCTTGAGAGGGCCAGCCAGCCAGCCGCGCGGGAAGCAAGCCAGGCAGTTATTTGACGGGCGAGACATATGGACGAACGAGGAAAGAAGAAGGCAGTCGAAAAGAGCGGAGAACGAATGGCGGGGCTGCACGTTGCTAGGGGGAGGAAGTTCGGTTTTGGGATTTCGGTCGGGTTGGTTGGGGCGGATCAAGGGCCTTCTACGCTGGAGTTATTTATGCCAGCACCACGGCCGGGGAACATAATGTGTACATGGCGTTTGGAGTATACTCACGACTTGCTTTGGGGTTCTGGGTATAGGAATGCCGCTCTGCATCATGACAGGACAGCATTGGGATCACAGGCGCGTTTCTCGTTTCTCTTTTCTCGTTTCTCTTCTCGTTTCTCTTTTTCCGTCAGCGGGCTGATTCATAGGATGCATAGAGGGATATGGTAAATAGACCAAAGCAGAGGCCATGCATTACTGTTGCCAGATAACCAATAGTTTATATACAGATATGAGGAAAATATTAGTAAGGAAGGGTATCATATCTCATCGAACGCCATAATCATGAGCGCGGCAACCGCCAACCGCCAACCGCCAACCGCCAGACATACATCATAACCAAAGCCACCAACAACAACCATCGTCACTCTCCTTCTCTCTCACACAAACATCTACACCTTAGACCTCCTCGGCGAGTTCCTCCTCCCAAGACAACAGTCGACGCACCAAACGAGCAGCGCAACAAACATGGCCGCGGTTGCCGCCCACGTAATCGCCATGAACTTGCCCCCACGCTCAGCCCTCAGCCCAATCTCCTTGCCCTTATCATTAACGACGCTGGACCCCTTAACCGCCACAGCAGTCGTGACGGCGCTCGCAAGCGCGAGCGCCAAAAACGCCAATATCGCAAGCAAGATATTGACGACAGCGCTGAGGCGGCCAGCCATGAAGAACGCGACCACAGACGCAAGGAAGGACACCGCGGCCAAAGCCACGCCCACGCAGTACAGCACGAAGGCGGCCTTCCACGCGATGCGCAGGGCGCGCAGGCCGTCCTCGATGTCGTCGGGCCAGTCGAGGTCCGCGAGCTTGATGTTCAGGCGCTGTGCTATTTCGGAATTGTTGAGGGAGCGCTCGAGCGCGGCCGTCGGGTCGAAGTAGAACATGGCTTTCTGGGCGGAGCAGTGGGAGACGTTTTTGTGGATGGCGGAGTCTGGCACCGAGGCGTTGGCGACGGACGTGGGCGTGTACGACCCCGAGCAGTAGGTCATGAGGTGGGCGGAGTAGAAGTTCTGGATGCCGAGGTCGGCGCTGACGTCGCTGATGAGCGAGTTCAGGTCCGAGTTTAGAGAGCTGGCGATGCTGGACGTCGCATTGTGGTAGAGCGAGCTGAGCCACGACGACGCGCTGTCGCTGTCGGAGCTGTCGGAGCCGCTGCTGCCGATGCGCGACGAGATGTAGTCCTGTCCCAGCCGCGACGTGTTCAGCGTCAGGATGTTGTACGACTCCATGAAGCTGCCGTCTTGCTTGGTGCCGGCGAAGATGCACAGGAAGCCCAGCACCAGCGACGCTATGGTGCAGAGCACGGGGACGAGCGCGAGGAACCGCATCTTGGGCGGGTTGGTGGATGAGGTGGGTGCGGCTGCTGCTGCTAGCAGGGGGTTGACGAGGAGGGGGGTGGGGTGCTCGTGCTAGCTGTGCTCTTATATGTATCCAGGCACGGCGGGAGCTGCAGCCAGAGGCTAGAGAGGTTGTAGTTGCACTGTAGCAACGCCGCTAGTGACAACAAAGGAATTCTCGAGACGCCCTCCCTTTGTCCAAGATCCAGGAACGAAGGAAAAAAAAAAAAAACGAAAGGGATCCGATCCGACTCTTGAAGACGAAGACGACGACGACGACGAAGGAAGCGTTGACAGTAGTAAGGTAGTAGGTAGAGAGCAGGTACTCTAGGTAGGTAGTAGAGACTGATACCTTATAAAAAAACGCCAACGCAACCAGCGCCGCGCCCAATATAAGTCAAGTCTATCCGCACAGATCCCACCAGCGCATGCACACGACCAAGCCCAAGCCTTAGCCACCGCGCGTTCACGACCCCCATTACGAAAGCCGCGCCATCTGGGGCCCGGAAAAACGCATTGCACAGGCGCGGAGCAGCAGCAGGGGTCCAGGAGCTGGCTTGGCCTTGCGGCGGAGACGTCGAGCTTCCCATCTGACGTGTCGCAGGGTTTCGCGGCGCGGCGGCCTTGATTCGCTGGCCCGCGAGGTGGTGCTCTGCCCGCTCTGCAAGGGCCGTGGACGTGTGCGTCATCCACGGCCGTGCGCCTGTGATCCGCCTCGCCTGCTTTTTTGGCTTTGGCTTCGACGCCTGCTTCCATGCTTTTGGCTTCCTTGTTGTTGTGCGGCCTGGCGGGCTGGGCAGGGCGCATGAGCTTTATGACGTCGTGAGGTGATGCCCGCACCCCCGAACGACCCTAGGCCCCGCCTCGCTCGGCACTGCTCTTTGCGGGTGTAGGGCGTGGTGTTTTGTGTGTGTGTTTTTCTCTGCTTCTATTTTTGGATGCGCGCGCTGCTCTGCTTGCTTGCCTCGTGATGCTGCCTGCCCTGCCACTGCCACTGCCACTGCCTCCATGTTGAATCATTGCTCGGTCCGACTTCCCGTGCCCGCCACCAGCCCCCTTTGAAACGCGCGTTCCAGCTCTCACACCCACCCGCTGCGTGCTGTGGCAGTGTTCGCCCGTCCGTCCCCTCAGGAGTCAGGCCGCTATCGAGCTGCTAGTCTAGTACGCATGCGTGTGTGGGATAGCGCCCTGTGTCTCGGAATCGCTCCCAAGCTCGCTCATAATTCGTAACTCGTAATCCTCGTGGACAAACCCACGCCCCCCAGTCTTTCCCGCGCCCCCATAAAAAAGCACTTGCTTTCACCCGGGCCTCTTGGACATTCTTCGTGTCTGCGCCCCCGTCGTCGTCGTCGTCGTCGTCGTCGTCGTCGCCGCCGCCGCTGCTGCCGTCTGGTTGTCGAACCGGTCCGTGAAGGGCGAGTATGGCGCGGCCAGCACGTGGACGGGCGCCCTGCCTGGCAGCCCGGGCGAGGGCCGCTGACGCTGTTCGGCGTGCAGCTTGTCCAGCGACTCGCCCACGACGTGGTATTTGGCCCAATTGATAGGGGGGCAGCGGAAGATGTTCTGCGGCTCGGGAACGGGGCCGAACTTTGGGGGTGGGGCCCCAGAGGCGGGCGACGTGGCGGAGCTCTCGTCGGCGTCGCTGTCGTCGTCTTGGTCGTCGTCGTCGGCGTGCTTGGCGAGGCTGTCCAGGCTGCTCGCGAGCGTGGGCCCGAGGAGGTCGCCCTTGGGGTGCTTGGGGCGCAAACGGCCGGCCTTCAGCTCTTCGACAAAGGCCTCGGGCTCGGCGACGGCGGCGTGCTTGATCTTCTCGAGCGATTGCAGGTCCTTTTTGCTCTTCTCGCGCTGGATCTGCAGCAGCGCTATGGCGGAGCGCAGGGCGATGGCATCCGTGTTGGTGCTCTCCGAGATGGGCACCGATGCCGGCGGCGGAATCATGTCGACTGCGGGCGGCGGCACGACGCGGTCGGCGGGGTCGGTGGGCGCCAGCTGCGCGATCGAGGCGACGGGCGTTATGGGTGACACAGGCGGCCTCGGGGGCGAGCCAGGCGCGTAACCGTTGTTCCCGGAAAACGGCGTCTCGGGGGTTGCGGTTGCTGTTGCGGTTGCTGTTGCGGTTGCTGTTGCTGCTCCTGGTGCAGGAGGTCTGGGCATCTCGAGCGGCGATATGGTCGAGTCATTCCGCGCCTTGACTGGGGACTGCGGTATGTCGAGCGCGGGCATGTTGGGGTGTCGGGAGGGGCGGCGTGGGTGGAAGATGCGCCAGAGAGCGGTCCGGGGCGGATGAGAGTCGGAAGCTGGAGAAGCAAGCAAGGGCCACACACACTTTGTGGTGAGAAGAAAGTCGGGATTTGCGACACGCCAATTTTCCAAATGCGCCACCAGACCACTAGGTTAGGGTTCCCTAGGTTGCTTCCTCGTGCCCGCCCGGTCGCCGTGGCACTGGCTGTCTGTCGCAGCAAGGTCATCCATGGGGCTGTCATGTCATGTCACCTCGCTCCGAACACCATGCATCCCCAACCGTGCACCTTTACCTTCCCTTGCTCGTGGATGACTCTACGCACTGTCACCGGCCATTCCTAGCGGCTCCGGCCCTGCATGTCTCGCGTGGCTTTCAGTATCCAGTCTGTGGCAGTAAGTTTCACTGATCTCGTCAGCACCCACTGCCGGAAACCCATGACTATGCATGAAGGTCTCAAGCCGAGTTCTGGAGCCTCTTATTCGTGGCGCGTGTACATATCAATCGAGGCTATCGTTTTCACTTTGGCTTGCTTCCCATTGCCTTCACTTCACCCCCCAAACTTTGTCCAACACGACACACTCGGAGGCTACACAACTCATGCCCCGTAGCCCAATCAGGAGGTGAGATGGCCCAGTGTCAAAGCGCGCTGCACGCACTTCACCTGATCTATGCCGTGACGAACGACCATTGTTTGGTACCTTCAGCAAGGGAAAAGCTTCTTCTCTGCGCCAACGCTTCGTCTGCCGGCACGCTTCAAGCTGTATCACCCGCGACGCACCATCACAGGCTCCCAGCCAATCCACCACCCACGCCGCCCTCAACCAAACAAGGCTCTGGATTTCGCCTCGGGACCGCAGCACGCAGAACTGATATAAAATGCGAACCAGCCTTGGGTTTTTCCCCATCATGCTTTTCCTCCGCTTTTGAATCTTCTCGGTTTTCCTATCATGTCTTGCATCAGCCTTGCAACTGCCCCAGTGCGGAACCCAAAACTTGCCGTTCAAAACCACGTCCCTGACACTGCCTCCTCGCCCACCACAGAAATCAGCCACCACGAAGATGGACTACTGCGGAGATTCAGCCAGACTACCCTTGAGAGACATGCCTCGAAAGCGAAGAAGAGGGGCGGTTCTCTGTTTGGATTTCTGTCAGTGAAGGAGCCCTCGACGCACGCCTTGGAGCAGTTCGCCGAGTACCAAAGAAAACAAGAGCCAACTGGCGTAAAAATGCCGGTGACTGCACCAAGAGTGAGCTCGAAGTGGGATGCACTCCCACTAGAGCAACACAAGGTGGAGGGATTCACACAACACGGCAGTCACCACGCCTCTACCCCCAACGGCACCAGAAGGCAAGCGCACAACAGCAACAACAACACGGCAACGCCTCGCTCACCCTCAAGCTCAAGTCCTCACGCCCTCCGCGCTCCCAACCCAGCCCTCTCACCAACCGCCACCCAATCTCACCCCGCGCCCACCAGCAGCGCAACGCCCACCCAGCAGGCCAGCAAAAGCGGCCACCTCCCCCCCACCACCATCACCAGCAGCACAACCCGTCAAAAAAACGCGCCCCCCTTCCTCCCCGCCGCGCAGAACCTCGCAGCCATCGCGCCATGGGCGGAGCCGCCATCGCCAGACGCGCGCCCCCCTCGCCCCCGCCGCACCACCGCCACCGACGCCGCCCTCCCGCCTGAAGTCTACTTCCCGGAGACGTCGGAGGCGTTTCTCGTCAGCGGGGCGCAGGCGGCGGGGCTGGGGCGCGGCAACGACGGCAGCAGCGCGCTCGCATCCCCGTCTACTTCTACTGCAGTGGCGCAGAAGCTGCCTCCCGCCTCAGCCACGGCGACGGCGTGCCTGCGCGCTGCTAGTGGCCCGGCAACGCCTACAGGCCCTGGCAGGACTTCTGCGCTCGGGAGGAGCAGCTCGCGCTCCACCACCACCGGCACCGCCAGCACCACCAGCACCACCACTAAGGTCGAGATGAGCAGCACGCAGCGCCCAGACGAGAAGAAGCGGAAAGGCCGATTCGGCAAGCTAGCCGGCAAGCGCTGAGGGCCCGATGTTGCGCGCGCACGAGCCGTAGTACCTGCACACACATGGTACTCCTAGGGGCGGTATGGGCGACGATGGATGGCGGTCTGGGCCGATGACGGGGAGCAGGCGCTGGGGGTTGTGGATAGGGGGGTTTTGCCGCGGAGGGTGCTTTTGCCGCGGAAGGGGGGAGGGAGCTGCGTGTTGCGACGAGGGCTCCAGTGTTCGCACTGGTAGGGAGGCGTTTGTCCCGCAGAGGCGTGGTGTGGCGCGTTGATGGATGCTGATGTTGCCGTTGCTGAGGACGCGGATGCGGATGCGTGCGGAGTGGGAGGGGGAGGGGGACGTGCTTGTGCAGGAAGCGTCGCTGCTGCAAGACCTTGCGGACGGGGATAGAGCTGGCAAGGAGAATTTGCCATGATGCTAGAATGCTTGCAGTCTGGCCGCGCGAGTAGAGGGCTTTTAAAAATCCGGTTTCTTTTGGCATGGTTAACGGTTAGCAATTCCGCGTGTGTTTGCGTGGTACCTACCTCGTCTGTCGATTTCCCGCTACTTGGATCACTGTGAGTGGCTAATGCAGCGTGGTTAATGGGCTAGTTATACTTGCAAGATGAAGGATGAAGGAAACAGCGGTCTGGATTCTTGGCTTGGCTTTGTGTGTGCATGTGCTTGCTCACTATCCGGCGTTTTTGAAGCGACGAAAGGAATTTCTTCAGTGGGGTTTGACATTGTCGAATCAGTTCTACCGTCGAACAGGACAGGACAGGACAGTAAACGAAGCCAAAATCAGACCTCGGTGCCCTTCCCTGGCATTTCTACACAAGCCAGCAGCAGCATCTGCTCAGTATTAATTCAGCTCCAAGTTGCAAGTAACATCTAGAGATATAGTCACTTGCGTCGCTCAGACATACAAACCATACCCCAACACCCTCACCACTCAACTCAAGTAATGCATGACATGTCAATGTTTATATTGAGAGGTTGGTGTGTGCCTAACCGGGAGACATATCGAACCGATACCATCTGTCTCCTACACACAAATCATCCACCCCCTCATCCTCATCTATCTTCCTTCATCCTCCCTGTCTATAATTAAATATGGTAAAACCTCCGACTTTCCACCTCGGGGCTACACCAACCCCGGCCCTAATAATCTTCCATCCAGAAAATGCATGCATACAACCCAAACGCCACGCTGAGCCAAAGGCGCAGAAACTCGCTCGCGCTCCCCAGCCCAACCAAAAACAAAAACAATCAATCAAACGCCCCACATGACCCAGCTTTTTTCATGCCACCAAACCAACCAACATGAATACACAGAGATAGCTTACTCCGGCCTCGCAGCACCGCCCTCCACATCGCTGGCGGCGCGCTTACGGCTCTTCTCCGCGTTCTCCGCGTCTCTCTGCGCCTTGCGCTCCGCCTCCTGCGGCAGTCCCGTCTTCGTCTCCTCGTGCTGGTGCGTAAGTGTCTTCTTAACAATCAAAAAACTGCACAGCAGGCCCGCGGCCGAGAAACACACGTAGACGATCCACATGGTGGCGAGAGAGTCGGCAAAGGCGACGCGCGCAACCGAGCGCTGTTGCGAGGGCAGCGCGTCGACGATCTCGGTGTTGGCGCCCGCGCTGCCGCCCGACAGCTGCGCAGCGAGCTTCGGGCCCAATGCCTCCTGCAGCGTCGACGACTTGGCTTGCATTTGGTTCTGGAAAACGACGCTGCCGATGACAATCGAGATGGCCGTGGCCATGTTGCGTGTGAAACCAAAAGTCGCAGTCGCGGTCGCGATGTCGCGCGGCTGCACCATGGCCTGCAGCGCAATGAGCGGAGACTGGAAGTTCGGGCCGACGCCGAGACCTGCGACGATCTGGAAGAGAATGAGCTTCGCCCACGACGAGTTCGCGGTGATGTTGGTGAAGAGGCCGTAACCGAGCGTCATGAGGGCCATGCCGAACCAGATGCACGGCAGGTAGGCACCCGTTTTGCGAATGACGACACCGGTTAGGGCGGAAGAGACCGACAGACTCATGGCGAAGGCGAGAATGTAAACACCGGAAAGGATGGGGGTCGCGCCACGGACGGCCTGGAAGTAAAGGGGCCAGTAGTAGCTGCCGCTGATGAAAGTGAAGCTGTGCAGGAAGCAGACGCCGAGCGCGGCAACGTTGGAGCGCTTGCTGAAGAGACGGAGAGGGATGACGGGGTAGGCGGCCACCTTCCATTCGATCAAGAGGAAGATGCCAATGGTGACAACACCGAAAACAATGAGGCAGATTACGGTAGGCGACGACCATGGGAACGACACACCGCCAAACTCAAGCCCCAAGAGGAGCATCAAGGTGCCGCCGACGATGGTAAAGGAGCCGAGCCAATCAATAGCCTGGATGCCGGCCCAGAAGGGTGTGCGCGGCGTCTGGATGTCGAGGAAGAGGAGGATGATGAGGAAGGCAGCGCCGTCGAGAGGCAGGTTGATGTAGAAACACCAGCGCCACGAAACCTTTTCAGTGAATGCACCGCCAATGACAGGGCCCAGAGCGGACGCCAGCGCCCACACCATACCGATGATACCAAAGTAGGCGCCACGCGAGCGCATGCTAAACAGATCACTGATGACAATGTTGACGAGAATGATTAGTCCACCGCCACCGACACCTTGGATGGCGCGGGCCACGATGAGCATGCCAATGTTAACCGCAACAGCAGCGATGAGGGAGCCGACGAAAAAGATGACATTAGCGATCAGCAGGACGGGCTTCCGGCCGAAAATGTCGGAGATCTTGCCCCATAGGGGCGTTGACGCGGCTGCGGCGAGGTTGAAGGCGGAACCGATCCACGTGTAGCCTGCTGACGATTGGAAATGCTCACTGATGGTGGGCAACGCTGTGGTGATGATGGTGATATCCATTGCAGCGAGGAAAACAGCCATCTGCAAGAGCGTTAGTGGCGATCATCGTGTAACATTTGGAGATCAACATACACCCAAGGCGAACATGATAATGGCGATCTTGGCCTTGCTTCTTTGCTCCTCGGGCGGAGGAGCATCGGGCGAATTTTCCACGACATCGAGGGGAATAGTGGCCATCCTGTCGGCCTCTGCTGAGGCGGCGCGAGAGGAACCTTTTGATGCAGTTTCTTTTTCATCGATCTCAGAAGTGACGTTTGTCGAGGCGGTGGGGGGCGGGACGGCGCCAGCGCCGGCCTCAGCCTCAGGCTCAGCTTTCATCGCGAATTCGCGATCCTCGTCGTACAGCGGAGTAGGAGGCGACATGGTGGCGAGGGAAGAGGAAGATGGAGGAAACAGTGCGGGGAAAGGCGCGTGGTTGAAAGGGCGAGCAAAAGTATTATACACGGCAGTCTCCCGATCGACGAGTCATAGCGCTCGGGCGGCCCCTCGGCTTCAAGGCGAGGCCGAGCGTGAGAGCCGCAGGATCGACGGTGAAAGGCACGCGAGCCAGTCGGCTGATGGCTAGAGAGAGTCGAGATCATTGCTAGGCAGCGCCCACGAACGCTGGCACGCTTCAAAGTCGGCTTTATCGGCATTAGGCTTCGGGAATATCGGCTAGAAGCGCGAGAGAAGAGGTGAGAGGCGAGAGAGAATGGGCTGGTTGGCGCATCTGTCTGTCCACCACCAGGGCGTAACAAGCTTCTGCCTTCCGCGGCCACTAGCCAAAAGCGGGCCGGCCGTTCACGACACAAAATCGGTCTTGCAAACTCCGACGAGCGGCCATCATCCAACCATCGACCTGTGCCTCCACGGCCGCCAACCACGCAATCAAGACATTCGTTTCAGCCGCACCCGTCCCGGCTTAAGCATAACGACGATCTCTTAGCACCGTGAAACGACGCGCACCACTCCAACCTCACCTCGCCCATCACCTCCCGCTTCATTTCGCACAGCCTGATGCATGCGCGCGCGTGCCTGAAACCGACTCCCCCTCGCTGCACGACGCGGGTAGGCGCCGTGCCGATCGAAACGGATGTCGACACAGCCGCTGGCGTTTGCGTTTCGCCCGTCCGCTTGCGTTTCGTTTTGCTCCGTCGTCGTCGTGCCATTTCGTGTCTAATGCGAACCGCTAATCTACATCCCCTGCCCTTTGAAATGCCGAGGGAGAACAATATCATAAGTTACGTAGTAAAGCAGAAACAGAGTCGTTAAGCAATCCCTTCTCTAGGGTGCAATTAAACAAAAGGGGGGGAAAGAGAAACGAAGAGCCTTGGTACAGCCTGATACCATTCTAGCCTTGACTGTGTATAATCTTCCTCTCTTTATAACGATGAAGGCGCGCAAACGGCCACACAGAACCCAGCCGGATATACCGATGAACGCCTTCGTAACGGTGGAATTTGCTGGCCAACTCACACGATGTAACCAGTCTTGACTGTATGAAGAGAAGAACAATGCAAGTGAGGAAAGGAGGAGCATCGAGCCAAAAACTAATAAAAGAACCCCGCTAATTCAGGAGGTTTGGAGGCGTGCATCATACAGCCATGCCGGGAACCGCCGGAAAAGGTGCTGGCGGGAGCGAATTCTCTGGTGCGAAGCCATTCTCGACAGGCGGGTTGAAGTGCCACCATCCGGGGTAAACTGAAAAGAGCAAAACATCAGTAGAAAGTGGAAACAAGAATGCAGCATTACTGCTGCTGCTCTTCTCCTTCCTCTTCCTGGGACAGCTGCTCACCGCCCTCTTGCTCCTGACGCTCGGCCTCCGCTAGCTTAGCATCTTCGTCGTTCCACCAGGCACGGAGCCTTTGCAATGGCCCACGGTTCAAGCGGTTGCTGAGCTCGCGATAGTTGTACATTTCGCCCCAGCAGTCGCGACCCCACTCGCACCCGGCCATGTTGACCACAAAGTCGCGCTCCTGTTCGTCGTAGTGAATCTTGGGGTCAAAGCCGTTATCATTGCACGCGCCGGGCGGGAACGAGTTGATCTTGCGCTGGCTGATGAACGCCACGTGCGGCCGCACCCATGGTTGATTCGCATACATGTACTCGAACGCATCCTGCTCCTTGTGCTCCCAGTCCATGTGTCGTTGTTCGTAATGCACCGGGTCCCACCACAGGTCCAGCAGGCGGTCGGTCCACGTACTGCGCCGGACGAAGAACGAGCCCAAGTTGAAGCCACCGCAGTCTTGAGGTATGATAACGTTGATCGAGGCGGGATCACCATCACCATTAACCGAGCGCGAGAGCGGATCAAGCCAAGGATCGTCGATCGGATGGGTGATGTTCAGTGGGTTGTAGTAATTGATATCGCGGTACGTGTTCGCGCCGAGTTCGTTAAAGATGTGGTTCTGCAACGAATAGTTCGGCTCCATGATAAAGGTGTTGAGATCAAGCCACCAGAACCTGACAAGTTAGCAGCGAAAACAAGGCTGAAAAAGACTACTCACCATTCGGCATCGGGATACTTGTGCATGGCGTTCCGGACGGTGTCGACCTTTTCCCAGCTCTCACGCCATTCGTGCGCATATCGCTTCTTCGTGCTCATATCCACGATCTCCAGCTCGTATCCCCACTTCTCGGCATACAGCCTCTTGTTCTTGACGCTGTCGCGTTCAATGGCCCATTCGCGCGCGCCTTTCCATTCCATGACGCCACCACCCACGTTCGCACCCAGCAATATGACAAACTTGCTTCCACCGCCGAGGTAAGATGTGTGGTTGTACCATCGCTGCAGGGCTGGGACTGTCAGTTACATGCGCGCTCGAATAATAGGTGTACTTACGAGTTATGTGGAAAACCATGTAGAAAAAAAGAGCAAGAAGAACCAACAAAAGGCGCAGCTTCAGTCCGCGCCCTCTTCCAAACAACCACGAAAGCACGCCCTTCACTCCGCCATTGCGCCTGGGCGAAAACGTCGCGCGACTAAACTTTTCCTTCTCCGCAGAGGTCACGCCCGACGGATGGATCCAAAGCGGCAAGCTTTGTGACCATCTCGACATGTGCCTGCTGAAGATGTTCCCGCGCGGCTTGAACCCTCTCACCTCTGCGCTCTTGGCTTGCGCTGAGCTCCAAGTGACGTTGTTTGCGCCGCCAATCATGGGGCTCGAGCGTCCGCTCATGTCGCCGAATGTAGGTGTAGGCAGACCTGGACTCGGCCAGCCTGTGCCGGGATTCGGTGATGGCGATCGCGAGAGAGACATGCCCGTAGCAGAATTGGGTGTTAGCAGGCCGGGAGTGCCAGGACCGACGCCTGGAGTGCCAGGAATTGGGGGCAGCGGCTGTCCAAAGCCTGCGCGAGCTGGCAGGCCGGAAGTCGCGCCCTGGTACGCGCTTCTGTTGGGACTGGATTCGCGTTGTAGGTTCAAGTTCGGGAGCGATTTGGCTGCGGAGGAGCGCCGTCGCCGGTGCTCGCTGCTGCTCGCAAAGGAAGATGGGGAAGCCACGATGAAGGAGGTGCGCGGCGGGCCGCGACGCTATGTACGTGGTAGGGCGAGGGGGAAGAAAGGGAGGAAGGCGCGCAGAGGGGTCCTGGCCGGAAATGGAATTGCCTGCGCGCGCAAAGATGAGACGCGACCTCGGTCCTCGATATGTGGCTTTTTTCGCGATTGATCGTCCGCTCAGACCGCGTCGCGCTCGTAGGTGAGGCTCGAATGGATGATATATCTTATGGAGCGGGTCGTGACTTAATTGGGCTTGTATAGACGGATGAGGGTGTCAGGGTCTCGCAAGGACAGGGATGTGGGCACGGCGAGGCGATTGCAGGTGAGGGCGCGGAAGAAGTGAGACGGCGGGCGTTGGGCGCGGTGAGATATTATGATTGCGAAAGAAACGGCGCGGCCATGTTAGCGGGGCAGCAGAAAGGGCCGTTTGGCGGGTGATTGCGAGATAACATGGCATCTTACTACATAGCTACTCCGTACTGTCCGCGCTGGCTGCTAATGTTCACGGCCTCGGTTCGTATCTTAGCTATGCTCATGCTACTTCGTACACTAACTACTTCGTATCTTCCCGCACATGGCCTGGCGCACATCCCCCAGCATCGTGTCTCAGTCACCGCCCTTGCAGTTCTTACCTACCACACCCGCCCTCTGCCTTACGATAGCGATGCCACCGGAGATGAGCGACTGGAGGCGAGATGACTCGGAGAAGATGACTTCTGGGGGCGCTGCGAACCTCTACGCGTCCTACAGGGTGGTGACAGCGGGAGGCCTCGCAGCGATCAGCGCTCTCCTGAAGGACAGTTGCCAAATTGTCTTCACATCACCTAGCAAAATCTCCTCTCCTTGCTGACGCTCTCCGCATCCACTCCACCCGTTGAAAGCCCGGTGCAGCATGCGCACATGGCTCCCTCAGACCCATGACGCCATTGGAGCGGTGGAGCGCGTCTCGACCTCGACCAAGTCGTGGCCGGCAGGTACAAGAAGAATCGATGTTGTCGCGCGCGCAGGCAGCCTTTTTATGCCGATCTCTCCAGGCTCGTTGCTAATCATAGCTCAACCCCATCTTTAGCGCCGGCACGTTGAGGCTCCTGGCCAGACTGCACGATGGCATTCCGAGCGGTTTCCCGGCAGGGAATGGCCGGCTTAAGCGAGTCTGATCTTCGCCAGGCCTCGTTCCGCAGGCGCTTCCACGTCCAACCATCGCCATGGTTCTCGCAGCGCCTACAACGCCGTCGTCATCCCTCAAAGGTAGCGACATGACTGACCCCGCTGGTCCACCAATGATTTGCGTGTCCCAAGTAGTACCTAACCTGCGCTGTGGCAGCATAATCAAGGCGAGGCGGCCAAAATGGATCTGGCCGTCCTGCTTGCTCGATCAGTTGCTTCAGAATCTCCCGTGGGACGACGTCTCGTGCTCTCGTAACAAGCCTTTTCTTTTCTTCCATGCCATCTCCAAAAAGTTTTGCTGTCACGGCCTCGCCCTCGTTTCTCTTTCGGTCGGAGTTTTGCTTCCTTTGCCAACAATAGACACCACACGCTATTGTGTTTCATTTCAGCTCGTTCACTTCTCGACACGCGATAATGTCTCTTTCGATCACCTAACATTCTTACCGTTTCTTTAGACTTTCTGTCGACTTCAGCAACAAAGAGCGACATAACCCACTTTCTTTGTGCCAGCGCAGGGCGCCGCATCAACCAACATGGCCACTCTGCACGTTCCCAACACCTTCAACAACATAGACTCGAAGACCGAAAACCTGGATGACCCCAAGGCTCAGAGAATAACCCGATTCCCAGCCGCAGCGGACTTTCGGTCACCAAAGCAACCCCCGTCGACCTCGGACAGCTGGGGTAACGAGAGTGTTCCCCCACCTTACAACAACATCGACCCGACGGATGTAGCATCTTATCAAGCCCAGGCAACCCGAGACTGGGCATACGATGCATCCCGGATTGCAGCACGGAATGCACTGCAGAAAAGATTTTCGATCGGTAACACAGCACGACAAAAGTCCAAGAAGAAACCAAAACAGCAAACTACCATCACGGTCGATACGAGTTGCTTGGCTCACCAAGGCGAGGTACCACGACAGATATTTCCTCAGGCAGGAAAGGAGGATGCGGTGATCTATATCAACGAGGCTGATATGACGTCTTCGGAAGAACGCGATGCGTGGAGCAAGTCGAAGTGGATGCGAAAGCTTGGATTTGGAGGGAAAAAGGAAGAGTCGGAGAGAATCGCCCCAGTGTACGAACTGCAGTCCCAACCGGATAGGACGCCTTTGCCGTACGACAATGGCTTTCGCTTCAAAACAAAAACTTTGAGAGCCAACCCACCGCCGCAAGCACTCCCAGTACCGACATCACTCCCTGTTCCGAGTAGCCCCACGCTCGAAGCTGCCAATCAGCCAAATCCCTCGCGTTTATCTTTGTCGGACATCTCTCCCTCGGACCGTCCCATCACCATTGGACTTTCAGTATCCCCAGAGCAAGCATCGGAATATCAGGCAAGCCCAGACCCAGGCTCTGCTCATCCAAACACGTATCTCGATACGAACCGACGCATGTCTATTGGCGGAGCCTCAGTGGATACACCAACGATCGTCGTCACGCCAGCGCAGGAGAATTCGGGCTGGCTATTGCCTCCTAATAACGGACTCCATGCCCCTAGACCTGCATCGAGTGTTTATTCTCGAGGAACAAATTGCTTTACGCTTTACAACAACCTCAATTTGAAAGATGCGCCCCCAGTCCCCGCTCTTCCGCCACACATGTTCGCTCATAAAGAATCGCCTCGAGAGATGACAAGAGAGTTTGATGTGCCAGAACATCGAAGGACTCCTGGCGGCTATGGAATTCAAGGATCGCCTCAGTACAGCCCATCAATTGAGGATACGCCCAAGAGAAAAAGGATAATGTCGGGGCAGACTGAAGGGACTATGTTTGAGGAGGACATGACGCCTACTTCTGCGAAGACGGAGGTAAGAGGTCCTAATGGCCTCTACGTCGATACCAATATTCCGCCAACTCCTCGTCGTTCTCAAGGTTGGTGGAATGTCATCACCACCCCATTTGCGATGACACCAAATCGCTGGAAGTTCAGTCCGAGCAGCGAAGCGAGCACTCCGGACGTACCGATGGTCCCAGCTGCGGCTAGTTTTTCTGGTGTTCAAAGGCAACAATCTCTTAAGCCGCGGACTCTGGCCTCGCCGGATGCAAGGTTCAGCGTAGCAACTTGGGAAAGGAACTCTCCAGATTCGACACCTCGGATGCACGATGATCTTGGAATTTACAGAGCACCAGATTTCTCGTCATCGCCATCACCACCCACGGAAGATTTCCATGACGATGCGGACAATCAGGGATCTGGGAAAGCGCAGGGCTCAGGCAGTGGACAAGGCCCGGTGGCTGGGATGCAGGGATCGGCGGCGGCTAAAGCTGATAGCCCGCCACCTGCGACAATCAAGTCGAACCAGAACAGCCCGCATAATGTCTACATCGTCAACAACTACTCTCACACTCAAAACATACAGCAGTCTGAGGGGACCATTACCAGGAGCGGCACTTTGAAGAGCACAGACACGATCCCCGTACTTGGAGTTGCTTCCCTTGGCACGGTCCTATCGGCTCGCGCCGTGCACGAACCCCACAACCCTAATGCGCAGTACCTGAGCAGTGGTCGTACAGCTGCACTTGAGACTGCAACTCCTCCAATGGTGTCCGCAGAGCGTCGGCCGAGCGCGCCTCATGATATTTCGGTTCCTTACTTCGCGCCGCCGCCCAATTACCTGCACCCCGAGTACCCTCAACAAGCCTACACGCAACATGGCTACCCGCAGCACGGCTACTCGCAGCACAGCGCGCACGACTACCAGCATCACGGTTACCAACATTATGCCGCCGATGCCCCACCATCACCCCGGGGAGGTACCCGGAGGCCATTTCCCAAGGATGGACGCATCCACGAATACGAAAAACCCGTGAAACCTGCAAAGCCCGCTCGCCAGAAGGGTGCAGGTGGATATTGGAGCTTGGCAAAGTTTTTTAGAGGAAACAAAACTGGACAGGCCTCTCAGGTGGCCACTAACCCCACAAAAAAGAGGAGAAGAAGATGGTGTTGCTGGTGTTGCCTCCTTTTTCTCATTCTTTTGGTTATTATGGCCGTTCTTCTTGGAATATTAATACCACGGATGCATCACAACGAAACGGCGGATGTACAGTCCCAATGGCTCAACTTGACTGGATATCCACCGATTCCTACCGGCGTTGCCACTATCGCTCGACCGAACAACAATCACGCTGAGAGCGGCTGCGTATCTCCACAAACCATGTGGAGCTGTGACGTGCCAAAGGAAGAGCAAGCGGGTTTGGCTCCGAATGATCCAAGCCAACCGAACTTCAAGCTTCAAATCCAGTTTGTGAACGGGACCGTTTCTGACGTGTCGGCTCTGCAGCCCAAGAAAGCGGTCGTTAGGCGCGCCAATGCACCAACTGCTGACCCTGCTATGCCGGACTTGGAGGATCAAGCTTTCCTAGGTAACACTACGGATGGCAACAGCAAACCGTTTGTTGGGGAGGAGACGCCATTCTTTATTTCCTTCCTCACAGGTGACCATGTGTCGTCGCGCCGTGTCAAGCGTGCCAATGACGACGACAGCTCACCTACTACAAGTGAGACCTCTTCCACTACTAGACGTAGCTCGAGTGCAACGTCGTCCACCAGACACGCCTCATCCAAGACTGCTAGCAGTACAGCAGCGGCCACCAGCTCCTCGTCTGGCAATTTAGCTTCATTTATCCCCGCTCCGGACATAGCCTCTGACGGTACTGCTGCTGCTGCCAATATCTTTCCATTTCCGGAAAACCAACGCCTCAGGTTGTACAACCGTGGCCAAGCAGATGAGCACTACGGCTTCTACACATACTACGACCGCTCGATCTTCCTCAAAAACAACATTGCCTCTAACAGCAGTGACACGGGCGAGTTGGTTTCGGATCAGAATGGCGGGTCCGCCAAAGATGCTGCGCGGGTGCGCTGTACATGGAGACAAACCAGATACTTGGTGCAGATATGGACAAACAGCGAAAGCAGCAAACCTCTCCTGTTGTCCGCCAGCACAGCTACTTCGACGGCATCAGCCTCTTCCGCGACGTCTACGGCCCAACCGGCCACCGATTTCAGTCGACCTGGCTCTTTTCCATATCCAGTCACCATTACGTTGGATCGTCACGGTGGTAACATCACTGAAAAGTCGATTTACTGCTACGGTATGGATGATGACACGAAGATCCTCAAAGATCAGGTGAAGTTCCAGCTGGAGAACAGAAACTTTGGTGGCTCGTTAGTGAATCCCGCGCAAGGCCCATTTGGAGGTGTCAACGTTTCTATTGCCGATGGTGGACCTGGTGGTATCGATGGTGGGACCGGGGGGTGCGGTTGTCAGTGGAGGAATTGGGAGACCAGGTGAAGCGTTTACGAAGTATGGTTTTTATGATTTTTGAAGGATTCTAGTTTAGTATTGCTATCATGCTGGCATGTTAATAATGATTTTGAATGCGTTCATAGGAATGAATTTCGGATTTTGAAAAGTGAAGGCCGACTTGTATCAAACACCCTGCGGATACTTAAAGTTGAAGTGGACCCAACTTCGGTGTTTCGGGGAACACAGAGGCGAGCTGTCCTCCGTCATCAGCTCCCGCTGATCACGACTGCTTTCCGCAGCAAGACAAATGCCTCCACGCATTGCGCGACAACGATGAGAGGACTTTGGGCCCTGCCCGCACTCGTGCGCCTGACGGTTGCCAGCCAACATTCATTCAGCGTGCACGACGATTTGCTCGCGTTTCCGCAGGTACGGATAGCTGGCCTCAACTGACCGCGGCACCACCGTCTTCACCACGCAACTTGATTGACGTTTTGGCAGTACCGAGTCGTCTTTACCGAATCTGGAATTTCGGAAGAGCACGCCGCAGCCTTTTTTGCCTCCACGAAAGAGCGCGACGATGCGTCATCACCAACGACCGCCGAGCTTGCTCACACGACGGACGGAGGTGCGCCTAATCCGTTCAAGGGGGCCGTCGGGGACGACACGGAAGGCGAGGATGAGGTAGCAGCAACCTATGAGCGCATGGTGCTGGACTCGTATCCTTATCTCTGCCGCATCCCCATAGTCGAAACGGAGGACGACAACACCAACGCGAGCAGCAATGCACGCGACCCAGTGGAAGAAGAAAAGGAGTTGGCACGCGCAAGCGACCGAGGCTGGGAGCTGTTGCGGGGAATGCAGGACAACTGTATCTACTTTCTGAGCGGCTGGTGGAGCTACAGCTTCTGTTACAACAAAGGCGTCAAGCAGTTCCACCAGCTCCCGCCTGGTAGAGGAGTTCCGATGTACCCGCCCGTTGAAGACGAGTCTGTTCACAGTTTCATACTGGGCAAGTTTCCGAAGGATAAGAAGCAGAAGAAGAACCAGGAGGTGGACGATGAAGGTCATGGCAGCGACGAGGGCTCCGCCACTGGAGAAACGAGTGTGGCTAAGCTCGAGACCAAGGGAGAGACGAGGTATCTCGTGCAGAAGCTCACAGGCGGCACGACTTGCGATCTTACGGGCAAGGACCGAAAGATCGAGGTGCAGGTAGGCCACCTTTGCCCGGAAGCAGAAAGACTTAGCTGACAGAATAGTTTCACTGCCACCCCAACACGCCGGACCGCATCGGCATGATCAAGGAAGTCAGCACGTGTGCCTACCTCATGGTGATTTACACGCCGCGCCTCTGCAATGACGTTGCCTTCCTGCCGCCGCAAGAAAACCGCGCACACCACATCGCCTGCGCACTAATCCAGTCCTCCACCGATGCAGGCCTATCGCAATCCACAACCAAACCCAAGGACAACGAACCCAGTATAGAGGAAATTCAAGCTCTCCTGGGCCATGATGGCCAAAACGAAGGTGATATCTCGGCCGCTGTATTAGAAGCTCTGGGTTATGGAGCGGCGGCATCTATGCCGGTGATTGGGGGGACTGTGGTGGGCGCGCAAGCGCTCGTTGGCTCGCCAGGAAAGGTCATTGAGAAGTCGGTTGTGGTGGGCGGTGGAAAAGAGACGCTACTAGCGACGGTGGCTGAGAGCGACGGGCGTGGCAATCAAAAGGTCATGAGCGCGGAACAGCTGCGCAAGCTCGATATAAAAGATCCAAAGGACGTGGACGATTTGCGGAAGAGGCTGGGGAACATGGCTGGCGATAGGGGCTGGAAGCTCGAGCTGGTAAACACGCCTAGGGGTAGAGAGTTTAGGGGAATCCTGTTGGATGGTGATGAGGATGAAGGTGAAGACGAGGGGACAGCACAAGAGAAGGGCGAAGCAGAAGGTATACAAGGCAGCGAAGAAGAATATCGTCAGGAAGACGAGGGACAGGGCAGTGAGGAGACCTTCTTCAAAGAAGAACTTTAGCCTTCTATTGCAATCTGGAGTTTGGGCGTTCGCTGTACATGTTAGTTAGACGTCAAGCCAAGCGTATTAGAGTCCTGTTTTGTCGCGTTAGTTGCCTGAGGCAGGATGGCCGAGCTCCGACCAAGCTCCATCATCGTCAGCTGCGACATCACCGTTTCAACACCAACTTTCACTTATATCCCTCCCAAACCAGTCGCTGCCTTTCGGCTTTTACAGACTCATCCAAAGCGCATCCAATCTGGAGCTGTCGCGTATCCACCGCAGCGGCTATCACCACGAGTTCCCCGAGCACCAACCACCCCCGGAAGGCCCATTCTACGCTGAGGACACAATCGGCCAGTTCAGCCCGTCCGCAATGGCGTCATACTTTCTCGACCTGGTCTATTCTTTGACCAATTGCATGTCATGTTTTCCCGGCTCGCCGCAGCTGAAGATAAACAGCCGGAGTTTCAAAATACTACGGCTGCTAGGAGAGGTAAACGCGACGATGGCATAGAGCAAGGCGACGGCTGACGATGCTATCTACAGGGCGGCTTCTCGTATGTCTACCTCGTTCAAGACACGTCGGGACAGAACCTTTACGCGCTGAAGAAGATACGGTGTCCCTTTGGGCAGGAGTCGGTCTCGCAAGCGCTCAAGGAAGTCGAGGCATACAGCCTCTTCGCGCCACACCCAAACATTATCCATAGCATCGACCACAGCATCGCGTCAGACCGGTCTGATCCCGGCGCGAAGACGGTCTATATCCTGCTGCCATACTACCGGCGAGGCAACCTGCAGGACCTGATCAACGCGAATTTGGTCAACCACACGCGTTTCCCGGAGCGTAGGCTCATGATTCTGTTCCTGGGCGTATGCCGCGCGCTCAAGGCGATGCACCAATACAAGGTCAAGGGTGGGCCAGGCGGCGCCGCCAGCCAGGGGAACGCGGCGCGGGTGCGCAAGGAGGCGGCACGGGCGGACCAAGACGCGGCCGCGGAGGCTGGTTCACGGCGGGGCAAGGGCAAGAACAGGGCAGAGGACGATGAGGAGGCGGCGGAGCCGTTGATGGACGACGAGGTCACGGCAAGCCAGGAGGGCGTGGCGCCGGGTGAGCTGAGGGCGTACGCGCACAGGGACATCAAGCCGGGTAGGTTCACGGGGATGCAGATGGGCAGGGACATGGGCTAACGCAGACAGGCAACATCATGATCGCGGACGACGGCAAGACGCCAATTCTTATGGACCTTGGCTCTCTGGCACCATCGCCCATCCCCATCACGTCAAGGAGCCTGGCGCTGCAGGTGCAGGACACGGCGGCGGAGCACAGCACCATGCCGTACCGGGCACCGGAGCTGTTTGACGTGAAGACAGGCAGCACGATTGACACGGCAGTGGACGTGTGGTCGCTGGGATGCACGCTGTACGCATGCCTGGTGGGCAAGTCGCCGTTCGAGGCGCGTTCGGAGGAGACGGGCGGCTCGCTCAGTCTCTGCGTGCTCGGCGGAGACTGGCGTTTCCCGGACGACACGCCCGCGCAGCAGCACGGCAAGCAAAAGGCGGCAGCGGCTCCTGCGCAGCCGAACGAGCATCAAATCAGCGAGAGCGTCAAGGAAATCGTGCGCAAGTGCCTGAGCGTGGAGCCAGCCGAGCGGCCCGACGTGGACGAGCTGATGGGTCTGGTGGAGGAGGTCATCGCGCAGCTGCCAGAGGACGGGTCGGGCGAGTAAGAGCTCGCGGCTCGGTGGTGAGAATTGGGGAGTGCGGCTTTGATACCCGGGCTCGGGCTGGCGTCAGGATGGTGTGCTCTAATACGTATAACGCAATGTCATGGGTTTTGGTGTGTATCTGCGGGGACAACGCGACGACCTTCCTCATGCGGCTGGATGAGCTGTATATCAGGTCGCATCTCCCCATCTGCGCCGTCTTGGCCCGCGCCATCGATATCGCCTTCCTCGCGTGCAACCTGACAGCTTCCTCTCCGGGCCAAGTGCTGCCGGTACGTATCTCGTCGCACACAACAATGCACTCTGCGTATAAAGCGGCCGGCGCGCTGCATTTTGGCTGTTCCTGGTGCTACCGCAGTTCGCTGACCCACGACGATCATGGCAGCCCGCGTTCGCGCCTCCGCCCCACCCCTCTCCCCCTCACCAATCCGCCCATTCCGCAGCACCATCCCTTCGTTGCGGATATATCTGTTTCTCCTCGTCCTCTCCTCGCTCGCAATGACTATCCGCGCCGCAAAGTTTACGCCCGAGGTGCTGCTGAGCGCGCCGCGGCGGTCGTCCGGCGTGCCGAACCCCGCCGACGGCTCGCACGTGCTGTACACGGTGTCGACGTACTCGTTCGCGGAACACAAGAGCTCGGCCGAGGTGCGCGCACTCGATGCCAAGTCTGGCGAGAGTACGGTGCTCACGGATAAGGAAGGTGCAGCTGAGCCGACGTGGTTGGGCGATGAGGGCGACGTGTTGCTGCTTGTGCCGGGCAAGAACGGGACTACGGATGTGGTAGTGGGAAAATGGGATGATTTTGAGAATAGGTGAGAGGAATTGTTTCGTTTTGTTTTGTTTCGATTTGCAATTGGTGTTGTTTCAAACATGGTCTGACGTTAAAAACAGCTACACGGCCGGCACCATTGATGGCTCGGCCAGCAGCGTCAAAGTAGCCCCCCTGGGCGATGGCAAGTTCGCCTTCGCCGTGGTTGCAACGGCCCAGCCAGACGGTAGTATCTATAACTCGGAAAAGGCGCCAAAGAAGCAGACAACCGGCCGGCTGTACCAGGCCATCTTCGTGCGGCACTGGGACACATGGATCACCAAGAACCGCAACGCCATCTTCTACGGCACGTTGGCCAAGGGCGACGATGACAAGTACAGCCTCTCGCCGCTGACTAACGCGCTCAAGGGCACGCCACTTGAGAGCCCTGTCCCTCCTTTCGGCGGCACCGACAATTATGATATTAGTAGTACTGGCATTGCGTTTGTGGCCAAGGACCCGGAGCTCAACCCCGCCATCTACACTAAGATCAACGTGTACATTGTGCCGCTGAGCACGTTCACGGAGACGACGCCGCCGGCGCCGGTATTGGTGCAGACACACGGCTTCGAGGGGCAGAGCACGTCGCCTGTCTTCTCGCCCGACGGGAAGCAGCTTGCGTTCCTGCGCATGAAATCCGTGCAGTACGAGTCGGACAAGCTGCAGTTGTTTGTGGTGCCGGATGTGCATAACGCCGCGTGGGTCATTAACGCGTTCGGCTCGCCCGACGGCAAAGGCATTTGGGACCGCAGTCCGTCAGCTGTAGCATGGAGCGCTGACGCGAAGACGCTGTATCTCGTGGCCGAGAACATCGGCCGCGTCGCGCTGTACAAGTACCCCACGCCACTGAACCCGGACAACTGGAACGGCGCCCCGACTCTCGTGCTCAACGATGGCGCAGTATCAGACGTCCGGCCGCTCGCCGACGGCGACGTCTTCATCTCCGGCTCCAACTTCGTGGACAACAGCGTCTACTCGCGCTACCATGCATCCAGCAACAGCACCTCGCAAGTGTCGTCAGCGTCGAAGAACGGCGCGGTCTTCGGCCTCTCGCGCGACCAGGTCTCGGAGATCTGGTTCCCGGGCGCGGCCAACCACACGCAGATCCACGCGTGGGTGATCAAGCCCTCGAACTTCTCCCAGGGCACCCGCTACCCCGTCGCGTACCTCATCCACGGCGGCCCGCAAGGCGCGTGGGAAGACGCATGGAGCACGCGCTGGAACCCCGCCGTCTTCGCCGAGCAAGGCTACGTCGTCGTTCTGCCCAACCCCACCGGCAGCACGGGGTACGGCCAAGCGCTCACCGACGCAATCCAAGGCCAATGGGGCGGGACGCCGTACCAAGACCTCGTCAACGGCTGGGACCACGTCGTCAACCACCTCTCGGACATCGCGGACACAGACCGGGCCGTCGAGCTGGGCGCCTCCTACGGCGGCTTCATGACGAACTGGATCCAAGGGCACCCGCTCGGCCGCGCCTTCAAAGCGCTCGTCACGCACGACGGCGTCTTCAGCATGGCCGGTCAGCTCAGCAGCGAGGAGCTCTGGTTCCCCGAACACGACCTCAACGGCCGCTACGACGCGCACCGCGCCGACTGGCTGCGATGGGACCCCTCGGCGCACGCACACAACTGGGCCACGCCCCACCTCATCATCCACAACGACCTCGACTACCGCCTCACGCTCGCCGAGGGCTTGGCCGCCTTCAACGCGCTCCAGCGCCGTGGCGTCGCGAGCGAGTTCCTCTCGTTCCCGGACGAGAACCACTGGGTCATCAAGCCGGAGAACTCGCTGCTCTGGCACGCGGCCGTCTTCGACTGGGTTAATCCCCGTGTGGGGCTGCCGGGGTTGGGCGAGCAGAGTGCGTATGTGCGGGAGTTGAGGGAGCAGGCCGAGGGGAATAGGGACAGCGATTTAGGGAGGACGCTGCTGTAGTGCGCGCTGCCTGCTTACCTGCCAACCTACCTACCCACCTACCCACCCACCCACCTACCTACCTACCTACCTACCTACCTACCTACTCGAAAACGACATGAGCTTTGACGTATGAAGGTATCACGATCAGCTACCTAGTTCTATGGGTAGATACAATCATAATTTATATATATTCTTTGCAACCCACTCACACTCGCCATAAAGCTAGTTGAAGAGTAAAACTCTAAAGAACGTCTTTTTTTAACCCATTATAAAGGTGAAAAGCATCGCAATAGGAAGTAGATTCGGGATATTTACAGATAAATTCAGGGCGGTGTTTTATTGGAATGCTTTGCTACTGTAAGTACATGTTTGCTGCTTGCCTCTTTGTATAGATAGGGCTTTGTTTTTTCCAATTCTATGAAGCGCTTTCTGTCGTCGTGGGATGATGGATCTCATGTTGTGACGTTTGAACATTCAGCACCTTAGTTCATACACCACCCGCCGAGATATGAGAATGTGGAACACATCCACCTATACATACTCACGTAAACAAGGTAGAATAAGCTCAAGATTAATCTCACAAAAGCAACAGCCTCACAGTTCAGTGGCAAAGAAACGTAGCTAGAAGCTGGATATCGAATTACCAGAGCGAGCCCATCGGGCAGCTATCTCCGCCGTACTACTCAAGCCGGGAGGATATATAATGGTGCAAACCAACAATAACAGTAGAAAAACAATGAACAAACTTTTTTAACCATACCCCTAACCCAACCGTTGACCCTTTTGTTGACCTTTTTTGACCGTTCTTTCTTCAGACTGCACAGAGCCTACTTACCGTGACATCACAACACAACAGGCTTAGAAGGTGACCTTCTTGCCCTTGAAGTCTCCGAAGCCACCGCGGTTGGTGGAACCGCCGAAGCCGCCACGGCTGCCGCCACGTCCACCGCCACGGCCACCAAAGCCACCACGGCTGCCACCACGGCCACCGCCGCGACCGCCGAAGCCTCCGCCACCGCGGCCACCGAAGCTACCGCCACGTCCACCGCCACGGCCACCACGGCCACCGGCACCACCGTCAGTGGGGCGGGCGCTGGCGAAGTCGAGACGGATGGGACGGCCAGCGACCTCGGCACCAGCGCAAGCATCGAAGGCAGCCTGGGCCTCCTCGACGGAGCTGAAGCCAACGTAACCGAAGCCCTTGGGGTTGCCAGTCTCCTGGTCAGTGGGGAGAGAGACACGGGTGATGGTGCCGTACTCGGCGAACAGGTTGCTGATGTCGTCGGTGGTGGCATCGAAAGAGATGTTGCCGACGAAGAGGGTGTCGGAGGGGTCGCTGGCAGAGTCACCGAAGCGGCTGGCACGGTCGTTGGCGCGCTGCCTGTTGTTGTCGCCGTTGTCGGCACGGGGAGTGCTGAAGTCGACGTTCAGGTTACGGCCATCGAGCTCGGCACCCTTCTTGGCGGCGAGGGCATCGGCAGCAGCCGAGACCTCCTCGAACTCAACGTAGCCGAAGCCCTTGGAACGGCCGGACTGGCGGTCGGTGATGATGCGAACACCCTTGATGGCACCAAACTCCTCAAACTCACGCTGGAGCCACTCCTCATCGACGTTCCAGCTCAGGTTGCCGACGAAAAGGTTGGCGACAGCGTTGGGGTCAGAAGGAGCAGCAGTCTTGGACTTCTTCGCAGCAGGCTCAGCCTGGGTCTCGGCCTTGCGCTTCTTGGGAGCGCTCTCCTCAGAGGAGCTGGTCACGGCAGCGTCAGACTCAGAGTCGGAAGAGTCAGAGTCGGACTAAGAGTTGTTAGTGTTGAACGTTAACTTTGAATGACGAGTATACTCACAGAATCGGCCTTCTTGGCCTTGGCAGGGGCCTCGTCGGAGGACTCGGAGTCAGAGTCAGAGTCGGACTCAGACTCAGACTCGGAGCTAGACTCCTTCTTAACGGCCTTGGTGGCCTTGGCCTTCGGGGCCTCCTCCTCGGAAGAAGACTCGTCCGAGTCGGACTCGGAGTCAGAGCTGGAGGACTCCTCCTTCTTAGCAGCCTTGGCCTTGCCGTTGACCTTAGCAGTCTTGGGAGCGGGAGCCTCCTCCTCAGAAGACTCGGACTCAGACTCAGACTCGGAACTGGAAGAAGACTCCTCCTTCTTGGCGGCCTTCTTAGAGACAGGCTTGACCTCTTCCTCAGACTCAGACTCGCTGCTGTCGGAGTCGCTGTCCATGTCGGTGTCGCTGTCCGACTCAGGCTCAGGAGTAGGCTCCTTCTTGGACTTCTTGCTCTTCTTGTCACCCTTGCCAGCGGAGGCCTTGGCAGTCTCCTTGCTCTTGGACTTCGGCGACTGGGAAGCCTTGGTCACGCGAGAGTCCTTGACGGCGGAGAGGGCCTTGTTCTTGGGAGCCTCGGCCTTCTTGATGGTGTCCTTCTTGGAGGACTTCTCGATCTTGGTCTTGCCCATTGTGGATGGAGGTAGGGATCTAAGGATCTAGGACTGAGAACGGTTAGTCGAAGAACGTGATGAGTAAAAGCGCAATGAGCGATGAGCGAGCTAGCTCGCAGCCGACAACCCTCAGAGTAATGCCAACAGTGCGTGAAGTGGAGGAGCGAAGCTCCAGCTTTTCAACAGGATCTCTCAAACGTGCGCAAAGCCCACAGCCCTCGAGTACCGCGCGAAGCGGATTTGCCCTCAAGCCCTCAAGCCCACAGAGCAACCTTCAAGGCGGCGTGTTCCCACAAGAGCCAAGAGGTTGCCGTCTCAAAAAGCCCACTGTAGTCACAAGCCCGGAGGAAAGTGATCTGGATGGCGCGCACACTCTAATGAAGCGCGATGGAAGATTGACCCACGAACCGACTGATGTGTTTGTCTCGAAAGCCCACAAGAAATGCTCCGATAAATGTGACCGAAGCGAACCCTCAGTGAAAAATGTGCGGCGACAGAAGATTGTTGGAGAAGAGAGGAAGGAAAGCTGGACGCGCGCGCGTTTTTATCGCCTCGCATGAAAATTTCGAGCTTGGACCAGTGGCAGAAGGGTCTTTTTGCGCTCACCGCCCGACGCCTCGCGACTCGCGCGTTTTTAGCGACCAAGCGACGGCCAGGCGGCTCGGATCACCTTTGAATGCTGCCCTCCCCACCCCGCAATGCTTCGACCATGAACATGGGCCCGCCTTCGCACAAGCCGCGCAAGAAGAAGGCCGACAGCGCCGTTCTCGCCAACCCTCGCCATGGCACCGTCCTGGCCGACGACAAAGGCCACATCACCGCTCCGGGCTTCCCTCTCGTCGCCTTTCTGTGGCCCGCCAAAGGAACAGTGACCCAATGGGTCGTGCTGCCCCTCGTCCTGATGGCCGTGGGCCTTTTCCGCTGGGCCACTGCTTTCTGGGGATATTCTGGTAAGTAAACATCTAGCCTTCCTTGAATTCAATGCTAACATACGCCGAAGGCTTCCAAAAACCACCCATGCACGGCGACTTCGAAGCGCAACGTCACTGGATGGAGGTTACTACCAATCTCCCCATATCCCAATGGTACTTCCACGACTTGGAATGGTGGGGTCTGGATTACCCGCCGCTCACGGCATACCATAGCTGGCTTCTTGGGAAGATGTGAGTATCGTACGATGGAATTGCTTTTTCAGTGCTAACTGAAGCAGCGGTCAGTCAATTGACCCATCCTGGTTTGCCCTGTATACCTCTCGTGGCCTCGACGACCCCACGTTGAAGATCTTCATGCGCGCGTCCGTCTTCGTCTCCGAGTATCTGATCTACATCCCCGCGGCCATCATCTTCCTCCGGCGCTACTCTCGCCTGCAAGACGTCAACACGTGGGAATACTCGATCGCGCTCGTTGCGATTCTGATGCAGCCGGCGACAATCCTGATCGACCATGGCCACTTCCAGTATAACACGGTCATGCTTGGCCTGGTGCTTGCTAGCATGTCTAGCATGGTCGCGGGAAGGCCCATGTGGAGCTGCGTGTACTTTGTTGCAGCGCTCGGATTCAAGCAGATGGCGCTATTTTATGCGCCAGTTGTCTTTGCGTATCTGCTTGGTGTCTGCCTCTTCCCTCGCATCAACATCCTTCGCTTCATTGGAATCGCTCTGTTTACGGTCCTATCGTTTGCGATTCTCTACGCTCCACTCATCCTGGGCACGCTTCATAACTGGCAGAACGGGTTGTCTGTCCGGGACTTGCCGGCGCCTCCTCTTCTCTCCGCGCTCCCGGTCGAGCTGGATGAGAAGGCCTGGTATTATCCGGTTGTGCTGGTGCTCGCGCAGTCCGTCCACCGCATCTTCCCCTTTGCGCGCGGATTATTCGAGGACAAAGTAGCCAACGTGTGGTGTGCGATCCACACGTTCCACAAGCTTCACGTCTATCCTAGTGCTTTGGTCCAGCGCGCCGCGCTCCTGGCGACCAGTGCTGCCATTGCGCCTCCTTGCCTAATTCTGTTCCTGAAGCCGAAGAAGGAGCTGATTCCTTTCGCGTTCGCCGCAACCTCCTGGGGTTTCTTCCTGTGTTCATACCAAGTGCATGAGAAGAACGTGCTTCTTCCGCTCCTGCCGATGACGGTCCTTTTGGGGGCGGAGAGCGGATTGACGCCCTCCACCCGTGCCTGGGTAGGATTGGCCAACATGCTGGGTTCATGGACGATGTTCCCGCTGCTCAAGCGTGATGAGCTGCGCGTGCCGTACTTTGTCGTAACCCTGCTATGGGCCTATCTGATGGGCTTGCCGCCGACGTCGTTTTCGATCTTCCGCAGCGACCGGCCAGGCCATCTCAACATTCTCTCGAAGCTCATTCACCTGGGCCTGTACGTCGCGATGGTCGCCTGGCACTACGCGGAAGCGTTCGTCCCCCCGCCCTCCGACAAGCCGGACCTATGGGTCGTGGTCAACGTGCTAATCGGAGCACCCGGCTTCGGGCTCTGCTACCTCTGGTGTTTGTGGAATTTGCTGGTCAAGAGCCAGCTCTTTGGGGGCAACGGCTCCGTGTCCACGGCCAAAAAGACGCAGTGATAGACGCTTGCATTTCTTATGTACGCTGCCCATCAGATATACCCGGCAAGCGCTGCATGCAGTTAGAGGGGAGTTTTGTGCGGGAGGAAGTACGCGGGTAAAATAATATGAAAACATATGATTGAACTTGGAATCCTCCACTTGATAATTATTGTGCCAACGCCTGCCCCATGCTATGTTTTGTTGTACAGTTCTCCCATGCCAGCCAGCCAACCAGCCAACCAGCTAAGCTGCTGCTGCTTATGCTTCTTCTTCAAGGCAAGCTGAAACCGTACCCAGCCATGCAGCTCTTGTATTTCGCGACGAGGTCCTGGCACTCTTGCTGCGCGTTGTCGCTGTTGGAGAAGAGCATGCACTCGTCGCGGGCGGCCTTTTCGTCCTTGCACACGCAGCAGGGCTGCCAAACCAAGCCGTTAGCGCCCATTGGCGATTGCAAGTGCTCCGGTACAGTAGAGCGCCGCGAGCTAGGTACGCACCTTGGGTTTGTTCTCGCTGGCCGTGCTGCTGCCAGCGGTCTTGACGTCTGCGCCGAGGTTCGCCGCCGCGGCGGGGGCTGTGCGTTGCGCGCTGCTGTCAGCTGTTGTGCTGCTGCTGTGCGGGAGTAATGCGGGCAGCTGGGCTAGGGACGCCTTACTGGTGGCTTGCGCGGAGGCCATGCTGGTGCGGTGCGGGTGTGTAGGGTGTGAGGTGAGGTGTGGTGCGTAGGTTGCGGTTGCGATGCGACAGCTTCCGAGGCGTCTTAGCAATCAATGGATGGATGGATCACGAATTGCGGCTCTTGCGGGCAATTGTCATCAACGCCGCCCGGGCATGCGCCGCGCTGCCCGCGCCGGGCGGGATCGGTGCGCGGACTTGCGGAGAATCTTGGCGCTTCCATGAACCGCTGGGGGCGGTGTGCGTGGGCAGAATGGATCGGGCGCGGTGCTGGACTGGTGGTTTGTGGCTTCGGACAATGCTTTTGTTTGTGCTTGGTCTATGGGGTTGCTGGCTTGCATGCATGCGCTTCTTTGTAGCGGGGAGGGCTGGTCCATTGTTTTGTTTTATCTTGCCTGGATGCAGCACTATTTAGTTTGGGGAAAGCCGAGCTATACTCGAGTATGTACGGATCCGTAGACATGAGCATTTTACTTTTTACATATAGCTGTTATTGGCGCGGAACTAAAGACCAGCCTTTGTGTTGACTGGTGGCGGTCTTTAAGGAAAGACATGCGGTTCGGAATGCGTCTTGACGCAGGCCGTTTGGTGGTGCAGGCTTCAGGCTAACACACGGGCCCGTGGCGTTCAGAGTGACACTGACAACGGCACAACGGCTCACATCCGTGCGGGGGCTACGGGCAACTACTGAGATATAGGTATACTCTGTACGCGCGGCCTGGGCCAGTACCAAGCTCAGGTTGTGATGTCTGATCTGCAGGCTGTCGGAGATGCGCTTGGCACCCTTGAGAATCCGAGTCGACCTACTTATCCTTCTCGCTGGTGTATTCCTAGGTGTTGACACTGATCCGTCGCCCTACAAGGTGGTAGCCGGAGGAGGCTTAGCTCGAGACAAAATTAGCCGGTTTTAGCTGAAATTTGGATAAGCTTCGCGACGCGCTAGCTTGATGCGGTAGTGGCTGAATAAATGGGCGAAGAGATGGATAAGTGTGAACAATGGGCGGGAGGAGGTGGTGTGAGAGTGAGGCGGGAGACGGATATGCGGCAGGGCCTAGCAGACAGGCGAGGAACAGGAAGTAACAAGGCAAATTTACAGTCACAGAAACCGCTAGTCAACCAGTTGACGTGGTTCACCTGAGGTTGAGGGCGATCTTGGCTGAGCAGCTAGAGCAGGTTAACTGCCATGTTATTGCAGGATAGCAGCGTGCTGAGACACGGGTACGTAGCGGCTTCGGGGACGTCCAAAGGAGGAAAGAAGAAGAGGACATCACCGACGCGGCGTGCTTGCTGCCTATTGTACCATACGTGCCTGCGTCGCGGCGACTATATCTAATCGCATCCGTCGAAAGGAGCACACGGCAATCTGAGAGCCAGCCGAACGTCTCGCATCTCGAAACAAGCCCAGCCACTCTCACGCCACTGCTGATAGTAAAGTTATCAGCTCAAGGGTAGATCCGCAGCGATCCTCGTGCAAGGGTTCGTCCATGTCCATGCGACAGTGACGAAAGAAGGCAGCTGTGAGGACTTGTTTTTCCCCTGGCAAGCAGAGAGGGTCAGGAGATGATGAGGAGAGTGGGAAGTAAGGGAGCGGGAGCGGGGGCTACGCAAGCGGCCGGCATCGGGGTCGAGAGCACGTGAAGCGCGTCTTTACCGCCAATGTGATGGAGGGTGAACCAGTCGACGAACCACACACACCCCAGACCCTGAGATCCACAGCGCATACACTATAAGAATCTCTCTACAGCTCACCCTCACGCTCCTGCGTCCGGGTCGCGCGCTTGCACCTACGTGGCTCGGTGAAGCTTATCAGACCCCGGTCCTGGCGTCATCACCTCCGGCCCCCCCGCGCCCTCCAGCCATCCACCGCGCCCCGGCCTGGCGTTCGTCACCTGCCAGACCAACGAGACAGCCAAAGCCCATCTGACTTCGGCCTGCCTGGCTTCTGGCTTCTTGAAGGCCTCTGCCCGCTCTTTTCTCCTGATATTCCACCTGCAGCCGCAGACTTGAGTGACAAAGAAGCCGAGCCCTCGGCAGCATCCGATCAGCGAGCGGGCCCCCCGACTACATCCCAGTTGCACGCTTTCAACAACGCAGCAACACCCCTTAAGCCTCATCGCCCATGTCTCCCTCAAACATGGAGTTGCCTGATCGCGTCAGGAGCCATGGTCATACTCTTGCCTCTCTCCAACAGACGTCAGCGCCTGGCCGGCCAAGGTCAGATGGTATGTACACTCCTTCACTTCAACTGCCCTGCCTTCAAGACGCTTCATAGTCGGCAACACATCATGGAGGAATACATACCAGACTTTTGGACTTACCGTTTCTTCTCAGACTCGTGGATAGAGGTCTCCTCTCAGCCATCGTCATCCTCTCTGTCTTCTGCAAACGACGAGATCATCACCGACGGCCTACGCGTCCAGCACGACTCCAACGCTCACCGGCGTCGTAGGCGCCGCTTGGATCCTGACCTTGGTTATCGCGGCTCGAGCGCTGGCACAAGCAGCCAGGAAGAGTACGAGGAGAGCGAAAGCGAGTCGGATAGAGTCATGTCTTCTTCGAACGAAGGTCTGCCGCCTGCGCAGGAAGTCCGGCGTTTGAGCCGGGTGGCGCGGTATTCGTCTTCAGACAACCATTCAGATATGGAAGCGAGTGACGACGAGGACGAGAACTCGACGGCCGTGGGATACATCCCCAGCACCGAGAACTGCTTCACGCCGCAGCCAACCGCCTTTTCCCACCCCCGGACTGCTCGACAACAGTACGCAACGCGGCCGTCGATGGCCCGAAGGCAAAGCCAACGTCACTCTTATCCCTCGCAAAACACGCACTCCCCGTACAACATGATCTCGCCGACGCACCAAGCCGACCATGACGCCGCCCTCCGCGCCAGCCTCTCAACCCTCCTCTCCTGCGCAGCCGCCGCCCGCGGCCTCCCTAAATCCCGCACCACGACGTTGGCCAACCCCGCAGCGGCAGCGCCCTCCTCCAGCCGCGTGGACCCCGCAACGTTGCGCATGGTGCCCGAGTCCGTGGCGCTGGGCTCGGGCGCGCCATCCCCTCCCACCGCACCGCAGCGACCCACACCCACGAGCACGCCATCGGGCGGCACCATCCCCCCAGCCTCGACGCGCAGCAGCAGCGGCTCGCAAGAAAAACACAAGCGCGCACGCCCCAGCAGCAAAGACCGGCGGGGCAGCGCAAAGAAGCGCCGCGCCTCGGCGTTCAACACCAACAACTTCCCCTCCGCCGCGGCGGCCGCCGGCGCCCTCGACAGCGAAGCGCCGATCAGCCCGACGCTGCTGACGTGGGTGGTCAGCGCGGGCGTGGTCGTGCTCGTCTCTGCCCTGAGCTTCTCGGCTGGCTACGTCGTCGGCCGCGATGCGGGGCGCGCCGAGGTCGAGCTGCTGGGCGAGCTGCGCCCGACGGGGACGACGTGCGCGGGCGAGGCGTTGAGCCGGAGCGCGGGCGGGCTAAGGCGCCTGCGTCTGCCGGGTGCGGCGGCCGCGGGGGGGTAGCTTGGTCGTTGGATGTTGGTCGTTTGGTCCGTGTGTGTGTGTGTGTATGTATGTGTGGGTGAGTGAGGTTTTGTCTGCCTCAAGCGGGCGAACTTTCCCTTTTTACTCGATCTGATCTGATCTGATTTCGTTTGATTTACTTTCCCTGGCGTCTTTCTGCAATCATAGGGCCGGCGCTGCGCTGCTGTTTGCGTTGTCTGTCTGCTTGCTGCTACTTACAGATCATCCATCTCTTCCATCCTTTTCTCTCTTCTTCTCCCATCTCTCGGAAACAAGCCTTTCCTGTCTATCTCACCCATTTCCTACTATCTACAACGTAAGGAAGTGGACAGTGGACAGACGGGCCTCGGCTCTGGGATGACTGGGGTGGGATGAGAGTCAGTGGCGGCGGCGTTATTGTGGAAGGGGGGCGTGCTGCTGCTGCTGCTGCTGCTTCTTCCGTTGTTGTTGTTTTCACCGTCGTGTTTTCTTGCGTTTGGGTCAGGAGTCAGGGGCTGGGGGTTTGGTTGAGCTTGGATATAAGCACGAAGCGGTTTCGGTCCGTGATGAGTCCACGTGGGTTGAGGCGAAGTGGATGGAGATGAGAGGGTGTTTGTTGGGTGTGTAGGGAGGACCTAGGATACAGGTATAGGTAAAATGAGATGATGCTTGCATCTTGACATGCGTGTACGTGGAGGCGCTTGAGTGGTTGGGTGTGTAGGTAGGTGCTGTACCTGTATCTGCTGTTTGATTCTCCTGAGTACGTACTTAACTACTTGCTGGGGCTTTTGGCGGCGTGGGCTTGGCTTTACTGCCTCTCTCTCACACACACACACACTCTCTCTCTAGCCACCACCCAGCGCAACCATACATCCCATACCATCTCAACCATCTCAACCACTCGCGAAAGTGGTAGGTAGATGGGTACACACCAAATCAGACCCCACTCCTCGCCCTCCCTAGCACAAAAAGCCGCGGCACCATCTTAACGCCTACCCACCACCCCCGCGTCACCCGCTGCCGCACCCATTCCTCCCCTGCCACAATTACGTCCCCGACCATCCTCAACACGCCCCCCTCCCCAACACCATCCCCCCTTCCATCCCACCCGCCCCGACCCCCACCAAACAACAGTTCCACAAAACTGACCACCCTCCCCCCAGGCGCGCTATCCGCCTTCACATCCCCAACATGCGCCTCACCAAACGCCTCGCCCGGCTTCAAAATCGCTATGCCGCCGAACCCGCGCACCGAAGCCTGCACATCCCAGGCCCCGATCGCGAGCGCCGGGTTCTCGCTGATGACGTAGCTGAAGCGCGTCCAGAAGGCGGGGGAGAGCGTCGTGCTGGGGGAGGTGGTCTTGTCGTAGTGCCAGTGCGCGTTGGGGCCTTGTTGCGTTTGCTGAGAAGGGAAGTGGTCGATGCCGCCGTCGGGCCGTAGTCGCCATTCTTGCCCACTTGGTGCTCCGAGCCGTGGCGCCGCGTCTTGCAGGAAGCGCGTCACGCCCGTCTGGCACGCCAGGTTGTCGAGGTGCACGCTGACGTTGCCGGCGGCGGCCGCGTGAGCGAGCGCGTCATCTTGCGCCGCGAGGGCGTGCAAGCGGGCGAGGGCCGCGCCGCCGGGGTAATTCGAGGCAGAGACGGCGAGGAGGGCGGCGCTCGCCGCGGCGGAGGCGAGCACAGAGGCCACGAGCGCCAGCGCCGCGAGCCTGTACGCGGGCGTCTTGGCCCGCCGCGCCCACAGCCACGCCGCGCTGGGTGCGGCGGCCCCCGTCAATGCTGGCACCACGTACTCGATGAAGCGCCACTCCTTGTGCGGCAGGGCGGAGAAGGCGGCCACGAACCCCAGGCTCGGCACCACGAGGTCGCGGGCCGGGGCGCGGGAGGCGGGGTTCGCGAGCGCGAGCGGCAACAGCACGCCGTACGTCAGCGGGTTCAACAGCAGCCGCGGCAGCGCGCTCGCAAAGTAGTGGTGCCACGGCGAGACGCCCCAGTCCGCCGACCGCCCTTGCAGCGTGTTGTACGCGAAGGCGGCCCACTCGGGCCACAGCGGCGTCGGCCACGTCCGCCAGAAAAACGTGTCCACGGGCACGGAGAGGGCGAGCCCGACGACCGCGCCGGCTAGCCCCGCGGGTATCGCGAGGCGCAGGTAGCTCGTCGCGCCGGGGAAGCCGGCGGCGGCGACGCGCTTGGCGAGGTCCCAGGCCACGAGCGCGGCGACGAGGAGGGCGAGCTCAGAGCGAAAGACGACGCCGGCGGCGGTGAGGAGGTAGAGCGCGAGGCGGAGGCTGCGGCGGCGGGACGGAGCCGGGGTTGCAGCCGACGAGGCGAGCAGGTACGCCCGCAGCGCCAGCGTGCTCATCCCTAGCGCGAACGTGTTCGGCAGCGTCCGCGACGCGTAGTACATGACGTGGAACTGCGTGGCCTGCAGCACGACGAAGCAGTTGCCGGCGAGGGGCCCGAAGACGCGCGCGATGGCGGCGCGGAAGGCGAGCAGGGCGGCGGCGTTGTAGAGGCCGAGGATTGCGCGGACTGCGGTTGTAAGTACTGTAGTTTCAGCAGGACGGGGGAGTGGGCACTCACCGAGCAATTGCACCTGCGCGGGCGAGGTCAGGAAGCGCACGAATGGGCGCGACAGGCCGGACAGCACGAGGGCGCCGACAAAGGTGCGCGGCACCGAGCCCGGGAACGAGACGTGGTCATAGTTGGCGGCGAGGCTTTCTTGGACGTTGGCCGTGGGAATGCCGTGGGCGAGGATGTCGTGGACGGCTTGGATGTTGAAGGATTCCTCGACCTTGGTGTAGGGGGCCCAGAAGAGGTGGAGCAGGATGGTCGTGGGGAGGATGAGGGAGAAGCAGAAATCTGGGAAGGATTAGGTACTTGATTGGTTGGACTCGGAGAGGAAACAAATTCTATGTAGACGTACCATTGAGGCGACGCATCTTGGGGAATTGGCATTTTATGTTTATGCGTCGTTGCGACAAGCTCGCGGGGCAGCAGCAATGAAGCACAAGCGAGTCATGTCGCGTCAAGCCCTCCCATGATCTCCGCCCCACGGCTGTCATGAACATATACATCTAACCCGCCATGGCTTCCTTCGCCGCCCAGTTCCAGGCCTCCTCCCTGGCCGTCCCCGCCTGCGTCGTCCTAATCGCCTTCCTAACCTCGGCGCAATACCTCTACGAAGTCATTGAGCCGTACCCGCTCTCACCACGGCAAAACGTCGTATTGAACGGATTGATCGCGTGTACCGTGGTCAGCTTCGCGCGCGCATGCCGCACCGACCCAGGCCGCGTGCCGAAAGACTGGACGCCGCAGCCCGTCGCGGTGCACGGCGAGACATGGCGGACGTCGGAGCCGGACAGGATACCCAAGGACAGGCAGCGGTGGTGCTCCAAGTGCGAGGCCCCGAAGCCTCCGCGCGCCCACCACTGCAAGACGTGCAAGAGGTGAGTAAGCGCGGCGAGCTTGCGCCAAGGCACCAGCTGATTGTGGGTGCAGATGCATCCCCAAGATGGACCACCATTGCCCGTGGCTGGCCAATTGCGTCTCCCATACTACCTATCCGCATTTCATCCGCGTCATCTGCTACGCGACGGCCGCTTCAGCGTACAATGAACACCTCTTGTGGATGCGAGCGGTTGTCATATGGAACAATAGATACCTACCGAGCGTGCGTCGAGCCAAGCCTTGACTTTGTTATGCGGATGCTCATTGTGACTAGTATCTTGGACCGACGACCTTTCAGCTGGCCCATCTGTTTTCGCTTCTCGTGGTCAACACGCTTGCCTTCTTCGCTGTCAGCATCATGACGCTGCGGTACCTTAAAATGTTCGGCGAGAACATGACGACGATCGAATACTGGGAGATTGAACGCCATGAAACCCTGCTCCGGCGCGCCAAGTACCTAGGCGGCTTCCTCGACAAGCCCGACGGCACCAGGGTCCGCATAAAGAAGCAGGAGTTTCCCTACGACATCGGCATCTGGCAAAACATGAAGCAGGCCATGGGCACGGGCAACGTCCTGGCGTGGCTATGGCCCTTTTCCGCCACGCCCCCGAACCACACCGGCCTCAACTTCGAGGTCAACGGCTTCGAGGACCCGTCCGTCGTCTGGCCCCCGCCGGACCCTGACCGCATGCCCCGCGTCCGCAGGCAGTTCCTTCCGGAAGACGCCTTTACCCACGGACGCCCGGACGCCAGCGGCGGGGAGAGCATCGACGTGGACGCGTTTAGGAAGAGACAGGAGGAAGACCTTAAGCGCTGGGGTGGCGGGCTGCAGAAAAGACAGCCGTTCCACAAGCGCTACGAGGCCGCAGAGCGCGATGACGTGCCCTCCCGTGACGAGGGTGACGCGGGCGAGGAAGCCTGGAGGAACTCGGAGGGCGAGCGGCTGGGCGATTTCGGCGTCGACGAGGACGCAGAGTTCTACGACGAGGATGACGTGCCGCTGAGCGAGTTGATCAGGAGGAAGAAGGAAGCAGCCAAGAGCGAGTGAGGGAGCGACATCGGCGCCCCATAGATGAATGCATGTCCTCTCCGCGGAGCGAGGTTGCGTGTGGATTATATTTTGGGTCACACCAGCTGGCGAATCAGATCGCCCGGGTTTCTAGTCCTTGGTGTTGGGCCCGTCATACGCTGTAGCACCCCCGCATGCAGGACGACCGATATCGGCGTTGCCTAATCGAGCATCGCAGACATAAATACCAGCGCAAAGTGAGGGTTTCCGCGTCTCCAGACCACCAACAATCTCTACGCCTTTGCAATCAATCTACTACATACATATCCCACCATGGCATCCACATCCACACCCCCCCAACCCTCCAAGCCAGACCACTGGTCCTCCAAGGCAAGCACCACCACCACCCTCCCCAACCTCTCCCCAACCCAACTAACCCCCCTAGGCCTACACCACCGCCGCCCCCTTCGTCCCAGCCCTCACCTCTGCCCTCCTCGCCCACCTAACGCCGCACCTCACCCCAACATCGCGCATCCTCGACCTCGGCGCCGGCGACGGCCCCCTCAGCGCGCGCCTCGCGGCCCTGGTGCCCCACGGCCGCGTCCTCGGCCTCGATTCCTCCCCTGCCATGATCGCCGCTGCGGGCCAAACCCACGCCCACACGAACTGCAGCTTCCGCGTCGCCGACTGCGCGCGCTTGCGCACCGAGGCCCCGGACCTGCTGAACGGCACGTGGGACACAGTCTTCAGCAACGCGGCGCTGCACTGGATCCTGCGCGCCCCGGCGTCGCGCGACACCGTCTTTGCCGACGTCCACGCGGCGCTCAAGCCCGGCGGCGTCTTTGTCGCGGAACTAGGCGGCAAGGGCAATGTCGCCGAGGTGCATGCCGCGCTCGTCGCGGCGCTCTTGCACTGCGGCGTTAGTGGCGAACGCGCGCGCGCCGCGTGCCCCTGGTTTTTTCCCACGGAGGCGTGGGTAAGGGATATGTTGGGAAAGGCGGGGTTTGTGGTGGAGGTTGTAGAGACCGAGTTTAGGCCTACGCGGCTGACGGCTGAGGGGGGGGATGGGGATGGGACGGGGGGCCTGGATGGGTGGGTCAGGTTGATGGGGAAGCAGTTCTTGGAGGAGGTTGATGAGGGGCGGAGGGAGGAGGT